ATTTTTTTCAATCACCCTATATAAGTAATTTTAAAAACTATGAGTGCATTGATATACTACAGGTGATAATATGTTGCTTATTTCAGAGAGGAATAAATTCTCATTAACGATTTACCATGATTACGATAATCTTAAAATGTTTGCAAGATTTCAGAAGCAGGTTTTGTAATTTCAAAGTTATATTGCAAAATGTTGTAAAACAATTTTGATTTTTTTTCCAAAACACAAATCCATACGCCACAAGTGCAGGAATATCTTATTTTATAAAATTAAAAAAAAACTACTATTGTAAATTTTGGATATGACGCCATCCCATTGGTGGTGGGGATGGGCAGCCAAATTTTATTTAGTGCTTTACTATTATATTACTACAAAATTGGACAACAATCGGTCCAGTAGTTTCGCAGATTATCTGTCTAATAAAAATCGACACAGACGACAGACAGATAGACAGAAACGGGAGTTCACTTTTTTCTAGGGATGTACCGACTAGTGGCCGACCGGTCGGATAAGCCGACTATTCCGCCGTTTTTCATCGTCGGCTGCAGTCGGCGACTGGTCGGCTAAACAGCCGATCGGTCGGCTTTTTTTATTAAAATTAAAATAGTATATAAAACAATTAAACCCGGTTTACAGAACCTCAATTAAAAATTTAATTGCGATTTAATTTTTAACCCCACGATAAAATACCATATGACCGACTCTACGCCAATCAGACGCCTTGTTAAATGCGCTATCAACTTAATCTCAGTTAAAATATTGTATAAACTGGCCCTAAATTGTGTTATTCATTATTTTTGTAGTGAGTTACTAAAAAAAATTAAATGTTAAAATTATCCAAACAAATTTAACACATTTTTGGAAAACAAAGGAACTTTAGTTATTCCTTTTATTAAAATAAAACAAATTTTTAAGGTAGTCAGAGACATAGAAAAAGAAAATACACTGTCTGTCGCATTTATAAACCGGTTTTAGCAAAGCCGAACAGTCGGCCGACTAGTCGGTTTTTACTGGCCGAACAATCGGCTAGTCGGTTAGTCGGCCAGACCTACAGTCGGTACATCTCTACTTTTTTCGTACTCTAAGGGTCATGAAACGTCGAGAAAACATGAAAGTGGTAAAATTTTGACAAATCAAGTGTAGGCTATTGCTGCAAAGCCACTTTGTTTCCAAGTTTTGTCTGAGACTCTAATTGTGGATATGCACGTCGACGTCAGACGAAAATAAAATATTAACAAAAGAACTAGTAAGAGAGACAATGAAGTTGATATTAAAAAAAAACACGTATTTACTTTTAAAAGCCTTTTTAAAATGTAAACATAGTTCAAGAATCATAACTTTCCAGTGTAGTTAGTACTAAAATGTAGTCTAGAGCTCACCCCGGTAACACTCCAGCTCAACACCTTGACCACTCAGCCAGATATCTACGTGAAACACGTGATAAATATTGTAGTACTATTTCTCTAAAGTAATTGCGATATAAAAATCAAGGTGGATTCATAAACCACAAGTACAAGAGCATATTATTTTATCAAATTTAAATGGTATTTACTACGCAAAACGTTAACGCCACGTGATCAAGTTTTCGTTAACGTTTCACCATCTACCCGATATTTCTAACATACATTTAAAATTCGACACAAACGTACGCTAGGGAAGTAAAAACTTAAAAAATTAACAGACCACTTTTAGACTGACCGTTTTCAACACCGTTTTCATTACACTAAAAAACGTATTAGCTTACAAAATTGCACGTTTCCATCTTTAAAAATGTCAGAACCGCGTATTTTTACGTCCCGAGCGTAAGCAACGAAGTATAATAATCCAGTCCATCGGATGAATGGCCACGTTTATATGTATTTTTTCGACGTTTCATAACCCCTACAGTACCAAAAAAATTGTTTCCCGTTTCCGTCTATCGTCTGTCTGTCTGTCTGGTGTCTGTATCAATTTTTATTAGACACGTAATCTCTGAAACTGCTCGACTGATTGTTGTCAAATTTTGTATGTATATTAAAAATATCATGTAGATGGCTAAAAGCTACCCAAAATTTGGATAATCATCCCCACCAACAATTTGATGACGTTATTTTAATGAACTATATTTTAAAATGTTTTGAATGTTATACAAAAATATACTCCTGTACTTGTAGTATACGAATCGACTTTCAGATTTTTCGCTAAACGTTCATATTTTCGCAAAAACATCTGTAAGGTATAATAACGTTACATTAACAACACGGCGTAAGAGTCTCCGTGGCGCAGGGGCTATATCGGATGGTAGGCGACCTACTATTGTGGGTTCGATGCCGAACTGGCCCGTCCCTTTTTTTTCTTCTGTGCTGTGACTGGTATTATCCATGTTGACGACGTCATCACAAATCTTTTATTGGTCAAATTAAAAACAAGTCACCCTATTTTCTCGAAAATGTCAACAACACGTCTTTATATAATAATGATAAAATAAGATAAAAATAATTTCAATAATACTAATAAAATAAGATAACATTTTGTTGGATTGTGGTTTAATTAATAATTTTAGTCCTCTTTTAAGAAGACAAACTCATTCTAACCAAATTAATTTCTACGTGATATTCTTTCGATGTATAAATATAAATAAACACTTGAGCTTCAGATTGCTATTACCTAGTACTGAAGGACAAGGGGTGTTATTTATGCATCTGGTTTTTACTTTACAGAACCTCGTTTTCTAGAAAATGTGAGAATATCCACATCTTTATTTAATTATGATCAAATAAGAATAATAATAATCATATTCAATACATTTTGTTCCATTATGGCTAAATTAATAATTTTAGTCTTCTGTTTTGAGGAGACAACTCATTCAAATTAAACAAATTTCTAGTTAAGTTAAGTATGTACATTGATAATAATGCACTCTTTTTCGGTGGTTATTTGCTTTGAATATTTTTCAAATTGTCCGTATGTCTGCGGACAGCACCTCCTTGGATTTTGTTATTTACATCACTGGTTTTTAGTATATAAAGGTTATCAGAAAACAAACATTTCTTATAGTTTTTCAAAGAAGCGTAATTCTTTGGACTGTATTTCAAGAGCGAGGGAAGTTCCGGCGAAGTAACTTTTGACCAATTTTTTAAGAAGCTTACGTCTAGACGAAAATAAAATATTAACAAAAGAACTATTAAGAGAAACAATAAAATTGATTTCAAGGATCATAACTTTCCAGTGTAGTTAGTGGAGATCACAACCTTCATAAAATGTGGGCTTGAGCTGACCTGTAAGCCAGTGATCGACTACGTGAAACACGTAAATAAATATTGTACTAACATTCCTATAAAGTAATTGCCATAAAAAAATCAAGGCGGATCCATAAACCATAAGTATAGGAACATATTATTTTATCAAATTTAAATCGTATTTACTACGCAAAATGTTAACGTCATCAAATTATTGTTGTGGATGATTAGACAAACTTTAGTTATTGTTTTACCATCTACCCGATATTCCAAATATACATTTAAATTCAGTTTAGTTTCGAAGATAATCTGATAAATAAAAATCGACACAGATTTCTTTGGCGTTTGCTGGGGAAGTAAAAACTTTACCGTTTTGAACACCGTCTTCGTTACACTAAAAAACGTATGAACTTACAAAATTGCAGGCTTATTTTTTAACACTAAATAATTAAAAATTGTAAAACAGAAAGTCTTGATGTCGTAGTTGCTAAATGATTTTCTTTCGTTGGTTGCAAAAAATTTAGGTAAGTATAGGAGTGTCCTGTAAAAAAATTCACTTCAGTGTCTAACTTAGAAACGGAACATCTTGAAAGATTGAAAATAATTTCTTAAAAACCTACTAGATGGCTTCTGTCAAATGTGTCAAAACATGTTTGGCAACAATGTGTAAGAAACGTGTAATAGTATATATATAATATTTCAGTATTACACCATTGGAACACCTGTTCCGTAATAAATCACAGAAATAAAAATAATCCTGTTATGATAATAGTGATAATCTTTGTAGAACCGAACATTTCTGCTACATCTTACGATCATAACATATTTTCATTCATTTATGAATTCATCAGATTGTTAGAGAGTAACCTTGGCGTGCCAGTGCTTCTCAAACAATATTATTAATTCAGTATAATATGGGGTGAATAACTTAATACGTGATCGCAGAAATTCAGGAAACAAAATTTTGAGCATGATGCGATTGTCTAAACGTCATCGTGTTGTCAAAATCGTGAACTTTGAATTTAAATTTTTGACACCCAGAAAGAAAAAAAGTATCGACATACGTTTTCTGAAACATGGCCAACTACGATCAAGTTTAGGGAAAAAAGTTAAGGTGAAATATAATCGTTATACTTAAGCTTTAAGTAAATACTCTTATCTTTCTTTTTCCAGTAACCGTTTATATTTTATCTTGACAAATGTAAACCTGCTTATTGGTTTCAAAATATCAAGATTATAGGTGGAGTGTCTAATCAATACCTATATTTAGAAATTGCATAGTTTGATAAAAGTGTGTTTTTCCCTCGCATATTACTGAATTCGTAAAACAGGTGGTGGGTAATTTTATCAAATCGAAAATCATGTTAAATATAGACGTTATATGGTATTACCCACGCACGGAATTATAACATATAATAAATATTAGCTCCGTTGATAAGAATTCTGTTTTTCTAGCAATAAAACAAAATACTACCGTAATATTACAGACAGAAATTCCAATACAGCGGCACAATAAACCACAACTTCAATTTGCCGACATCCCAAAGTAGCATTTTATTGAAAAATGTGCTCAGTAATGTGATAAGCAGTGACAGGATGTTTTTGTTTGCGAACTCGGATGATGTGTGAATGATTGATTACTTTAGTAACTAGATCGAAAAAAGAAAAGAGGTACTACGCCTGATTTCGCATTTTTCCGGTTTGAAAGTTGTTTGTGTAAATGTTATAATTAATGAATTTTCAGTGTGGACAAATTTGTTATGGAAATGATTTTTGTTGCAGTTGGCCTCGTGCATTATGAGACTAGATCGCATACCACTGTGCAATATCGAACCAACATGACTCAAAGGGATGAAGTGCAGAAGTTCGAGCAGGGACGAATACGTTTCCTGCAGGAAGAACGTCTGCACATACAAAAGAAGACGTTTACGAAATGGATGAACTCATTTCTTCAGAAGGTAAACATTTTGCAGCGACAATGCGTACACGATTATGGAATATTTTTAAAAATAATGGCACTCGCGGCCTTGGATATATTAAAATGTACATAATTTAAATTCTTCAAGTGTTGCTCCGTTTACAGCGTTTTTCCGTCCTTTTATGAAATCATTCTCATACTTGTTTGTGGAAATGTTCACAGTTGCGACATGGTGTTTCGTTGCAATAAACAATAAACAATTTCAAGATAATTTGTTATTGAGATACGCCTTACGTCGTCTAGTCTTGAGTTGAGTGTTCTGCGAGTTGTTATCAAGCGTTTTGCTCGAGAAGTTACAGATATTTAATAAGAGATGTTATCACTTGTGTGCACAATATTTTCTTTGTTTTCCACTCAAAAAGTTTTCAGCTCTGTTTCACTTTGGGGGAAAAGTGTTCTCTCTTACATCCATTTTAACGGATATTTAGATATTACTATTCGCATAAATCTCATAAAGGAAGTGGATAATAAATGAAACATGTTAGAAAGTTGCAGTTTATCATTATTGCATATGGTATTTATTCCCTGACATGAATATGTTGTTGCAACACAAAGCACAGCTTAATTTCGGCACTTTTAACTTTGAAGTGCCGTGAGACTAAAAGTTCACAAAACTCTTTGTTTGAAAGTTATTTCGAACTGTCAGCGGGTCTTGATGTTAAAATTCACCTGACAACGTGACGTAACAGGAAAAATAATGTAAAAACATAAAAATTGTTTAACTGATAAACAACAGGTAATAATTATGTAGTATGTGCAATACTTCAAACTTCACTTATAATTTTACCCGAACAACTGCACCTTAATTTATGGCTTTTAAAATAATTCCAACAGCGCAATCGAAAATAAGAAAATCGCAATGTTGTATTAAGGGTCATCAAAATTGAGTGATTTATTATATGGAAAATAAAAAAAGTATAGTATATTGTAGACACTATTTTTGAATACTAATAAAATTTTATGCCTCCTGTTAGTGTCACTTAGGCCCACAATAATCGAACAACCTTCCCGATAGGGATCTTCGTCTGGCCTTCACATAAGACGTGTGCCGCATTGAAATCTACGTAAATTTCAGGGTTGTAATTAGGAAGATACGTATGGTTCGTCATCAGAAATTCATTCGGCTAAATACTAAAACAAATTAGTTTCATGATGTTGAAAGTCAACCGAGCATTGAAGAAGGGTCTATAATTTATAATTTACGGATTATGGGCAACTTCTCTATGATCACATTAATTTACCTGATTTTGTGTTCTTTTATTAATGTTAAATATGTATTTTAATTTAAATGATAACGTTGACGACATCTCTGAGATAATTCCCGCGTTTTCATTAAGCAACCACGCCTAGTGGTGTTAAAATCCCGTGATGTCTTCCTTGTAAACGCAAAATTGCAGTTGTTCTTTTTCAAAGACATAAAATCCATCGCGCTTGCATATAATAGGATAAAGTATGTTTTGAAAAGAATCGGTACTATTTACTCCTGTTATTTTAGCTATAAATCTTAAAATCGTCGATAAATGTAGTCATACATTGAAAAGTGCAGTGACCAATTAATCTTCTTTGGTAATCTGGTAACAACTATGGCGCCAAAGATAGAAAGTATTAACGTAAACATGACACATAATAAGTTAGATATGAAGACAATCAATAAATAAATAAGATAAAAAATTAAAACAAACCTCACTAAAAACATTAATCATAAATTAAAGAACACGACATAAAATTGCACTGCCGAACTGTTACAAGTAATTAATGATCAAGTGGCTGCAGAGTATCTGTCGCGTGACTGACTACCCACACGATTTGCACCTTTAATGACGATTTGTGCTTTTTGCTCTTACGTAATCTTACCATAAAAGCGGTACTTTTTCAAATGGTAGGCATACTGTCCCAGCCCGCACTCACCATTACGTAGATTTTCAACACCTTGAATCTGCCACCCTCACTAAGCACTGGTGCCAAGTGTTGAATAGACCGATAGTAATTCGAGCTACAGTGTGTTGAGATTTTAAACTGTCGCAATTTTACTAATATTTATTTGACGCTTCTTGAGTTAAGTGATACTAACAATGTCACCAACCTGTTTATTTTGGTGGTACATGTTATCTGTTGCCAACGTAAATACAACAGGTATTTTTTTGTCTTGTTTTTACTAAGATAATAACTACGTGTTTCCCCCGTGAATTTGAAATGCGGCCGATTTAAACAATGAATGTCCCCTTGCAAAAACTGGGTTTTGTCAATTATGTCCTTGCCTTCACTTTCTTGTAAAAAAAATTGATATTTGAAACTCCACTTCTATTAGGCGATTTCTCGAGTTGCAACTGCTTGACATTATCAGTAATTATTATTGTTGGCAAATAAAAGTCGTAAATTAAGTGTGTTTATTATATTAATTGAACTCGTGGCATTTAATATATAGGCGGCTTTCGCCAAAATTACCGTAATAACAATAACTTTGCCTTTCAACGTGTTCATTTGTATTAGGTTCGGATGGAGGTGGACGATTTGTTCGTAGATTTAGCAGATGGAAAAAAATTACTAAAACTCTTGGAAATCATATCCGGTGAAAAATTGGCAAAACCAAACAATGGCAAAATGCGGGTACACAAGATCGAGAACGTTAATAAAAGCCTGGCGTTCTTACACACAAAAGTTCGACTGGAAAGTATAGGCGCAGAAGATATCGTCGACGGAAATCCGCGCCTTATTTTAGGTCTTATCTGGACGATCATTCTTAGGTTTCAAATTCAAGAAATCGAAATCGACGTGGTAAGTAAAATCGTCGTTAGACAAACGTTGGTTCAATGTTTGCTTCAAAGGACGAAGAAAATGAAAGTTCTGAAAAGAAATCTGCCAAAGACGCTCTTCTCTTGTGGGCCCAACGAAAAACTCACGGTTATCCTGGTGTTGAAATCCGCGACTTTTCGTCGTCATGGCGAACGGGGTTAGGTTTCAACGCTTTAATCCATGCCCACAGGCCTGATTTGTTCGACTACAATCCATTACTTCATAATCGTAACATAGATAACTTAAATCATGCCTTTGATGTTGCCAATAACGAATTGGGGATTCCACGGCTTTTGGACGCTGAAGATATTGATAATACTAGACCAGATGAAAAGAGTATTATGACCTACGTTGCTTCCTACTACCACACATTCGCACGAATGAAGAACGAAGAGAAATCAGGAAGGCGTATTGCAAAGGTACCACGCAACACCCCGAGCCCAAACCAAACTCAAATTCGTTTTTTTAGATCATCAAGCAGATGGTTGACGCCGATAAAATGAAGTCGAACTATGATAGGCTTACGACAGACTTGCTCGACTGGATTAATAGCACCATCGTGAAATTAGAAGATCGAAATTTCCCTAATTCCTTGGAAGGCATCCAAAGTCTTCTCATACACTTTGCACGTTACCGAACGCAAGAAAAACCCCCAAAGTACAAAGAACGAAGCGAAATAGAGGCTCTATTTTTCAATATAAACACACAACTTAAGGAACTGAGACAACCTGCTTTCAACCCTGCCGATGGTAAACTGGTTCAAGATATAGAACGAGCGTGGGAGACTCTAGAAAGGGCTGAACATAGTCGCGAAGTCGCTCTTCGTAGCGAACTGCGACGACAAGAACGTCTGGAACAACTTTTCTACAAATTCGAACGTAAAAGTGTCCTTCGGGAGGGTTACGTTAGAGAGATGATCCAGGTTCTTTCGGACCCACGCTACGGCTCGAATCTGGCACAAGTAGATGCTACAGTAAAGAAACACGAAGCTATCAGTGCTGATATTCTGGCTAGACAAGATCGCGTCAATGATTTGACCCAAATGTGTGACGAACTGGTTAACGAAAATTACCGAAATTCAGATCGTGTTATCAAAAGGGAAGCCGAAATACAGAAGAACTGGAAAGAGCTACTGGGTTTGTTGGAAAAACATAAGTTTAATCTGAACAGAATGGTCAGTATCATGGCACTATTGAGAGAAATCGACACAGCGTTAGCTAGCATGCAACAATTGAAAGCTGACCTGTCTACTGCGGACACGGGAATCCACTTGGTGGCCGTTGAAGAGTTGCTACATAGACATGCACTGCAAGAACTACAGGTGAGTTCTTTGGGTGAAACGGAAAGACGACTACATCGACTGGGTGAGAACACCACCGTGCAAAATCCGAAAGAACAGGAACTTCTTACGAAGAAATTGAATGAACTGTCCGCAACATACAAGGACTTACAGGTAAGTACTTCTTAGATTCGCGGGAAATGCTGTGAACGTTGATTTAAGGATGCCAGTGCACGACGTAAAGTGCTTCTAGAAGAAGCAAGAAACTTTTACCAATTTCTAGAAGATCAAGAAGATGAAGAGTCGTGGTTGATCGAAAAACAAAGGATATGTCAAGCTGGAATCACCGCGAAAGACTTACGAGGAGTACTATCTTTACAACAAAAACACAAAGTACTAATAGACGAGATTAAAGCTCGCAGGAACAAATTCGACCAATTAAGTACGACTTTCTTAATTTAAGTAAAGTGTTAATAAATATTAAATACATATGTTTTCAGCTGCTACTGCGAAACAATTACTCGCGGATAAGCATCCCAGGTCGGGCGAAATCCAACAACACATGCATAGGAATAGACAAGCCTGGGACGACTTAGACAGACTAGTCAATGAGAGAACAAAACAGTTGCAAGATGCAGCTGAAGCTTACCAATTTTACGCAGACGCCAATGAAGCAGATTCTTGGCTAAATGAAAAAACCTCGATTTTAAATTCTAGTGATTACGGTACTGACGAACCAAGTGCGCAAGCTCTTCTTCAGCGACACAAAGACCTAGAAGGCGAATTAAACGCCTACAAAGGAGACATTCAGAGTCTGAATGCACAAGCTGATCGTTTAATCGCTTCAGGAATTTCTAATCTTGACCTAACTGCAGAAGTACAAGTTGCAGAACCTACCGAGGACGTCGTGTATGAAACCAGGTTGATTCCAACCGAAGTATGGGTAGACGAACCCGTCGAAAAAATAGAGTACAAAGTAGTAGTCGAAGAGAAAAAAGTACCTCAAGTCAAAGCTCTTTATGCCTTCAATGATCACGGTTTGAACATGATCAAAGGCGAGGTTATGTACTTATTGAACAAGAGTAACCCTGATTGGTGGTGTGTGCGGAAAGCTGATGGTACGGATGGGTTTGCTCCAGCGAGGTACGTTACAGAAATCGAACCTCGCCTCCTCCAGATGCAGTACAAAAAGCCTGAAACTATCAAAACTGTACAAAGAGTGAAGAAAACGAAAATGATTAGTCAAAAAGTGCCAGTTAAGGTTTTCAGACCCAGAAAACCGGCTAAAAGGAGAGTGGATGATAATGATAGCGTCCCCAAAAGACAAAAGAAGATCAATGATACGTACCAACACCTATTGGACCTAGCTGCCAAAAGACGTGCTCTTCTGGAAGACGCTGTTAAATTGTTCCGGTTTTATAAAGAGTGTGACGATTTTGAGAAATGGATTAAAGACAAAGAGAAGTTGTTGGCTGTTGACGATCCTAACGATAATGTTGAACAAGCGAAGCGTAAATACGAGGTAAGTACAATTGGTAATAAGTTGTTCAAATTCATTCTGGGTTTTTCTAGAAATTCGTCACAGATCTTTCCGCTAGCAATAAACGCATGGATGAACTTAACGATGACGTGAAAGAGTTCGAGAAGGCCAAACATTCTCAAATTGACAAAATCCGAGCGAGACACCGACAAGTGCAAGCTGCTTGGCAGCATCTTAACCAACTGAAAGCTCAAAAAGAGAAAAGTTTGGAAGGAGCCAGCAGTGTCGAACTTTTCCAAAAAACTTGCGACGAAGCTAGAGACTGGATGTTGGAAAAGATGACCCAACTTGACTCTCATGTTTTGGGTCACGATTTGAAAACAGTACAAGCGTTACAAAGAAGACACGATAATCTAGAACGAGAGCTTGCACCTCTTGAAGAGAAAGTAAACAAAGTAATGCTTTTGGCCAACTCCGTCAAGTCTTCTTACCCCAACGAACGTCAAAATGTAGCACGCAGACAAGACGAAATAGAAGACTTATGGCGTCAAGTTAAAGATAAAGCTAGTGAACGCAGAGCTCGACTAGAAGATGCAGTCGGTCAGCAGATATTTACCAATTCTTGTAAAGATCTCTTGCATTGGGTTGCTGACGTCAAAGATCAACTGAACGCAGAAAATATGGTGAGAGATGTCCAAACAGCTCAAGCACTTTTGAAAAGCCACAAAGATTTGGGAGAAGAGATCAGAGCAAAGGATGATGAGTTCAAAGAGTTGACAAATTTGGGAAAGAAGCTTTTGAAATCGAATCCAGGTCTTTCAGAAGTGGCTGAACGCATCGAAAGACTACAAGCTGAACAAGAAGCTTTGGGTCGCGGTTGGAAAGAAAAACAACGTTGGTTAGAACAGTGCTTACAGTTGCAGTTGTTTAATAGAGAAGCCGATAACATAGATGCAGCCACTTCAGCTCATCAAGCTTTCTTGGAATTTTCTGATCTAGGGGTAAGTAAAAATTGTTTCCCAAGCGTGTGCCAAGCGTGATTATTAACATTTTAGAACTCTCTTGACGAAGTCGAAGCTTTGCAAAAACAACATAGAGCTTTTGCTAACACTTTGTTTGCGCAAGACGACCGTGTGATTGCTTTTAGCAAGAAAGCAGACGCTTTGATTGCCGAACAACACTATGATAGTCAAGGGTAAGTAGCAAGTCATTTTAGCAATCAAATATTAATTTGGTGAACAGTATCGACGACAAACGCAATGAAGTCATTCAAAGACGTCAAGCCGTCAAGGACATATGCCAACAAAGAACCAACGCGCTAGATGCGTCTAAAAACTACCAAGAGTTTTGCGCCGAAGTTCACGATTTGCGAAGTTGGCTGAACGAGAAGTTGAAGACTGCGTCGGATGAGAGTTACCGCGATTTGAGTAATCTTGAACGGAAGCTACAAAAACACGAAGCGTTTGAACGTGAACTCAGAGCGAATGAGGGTCAGTTGAGAACCGTGAACAAACTCGGGCAAGCCCTGATTGCGCAAGACAGTTACCGTAAAGCTGATGTTGCTAAGACTTTGAAAGAATTAAACGACGAATGGCAGCAACTAGTCGGAATTTCTCTCGAGAAAGGTAGAAGATTGAGACAAGCTGTAGCCCAGCATGACTACAACAACTCCATCGACGACATCCAAACTAGATTGGACGAGATTAACGAAAATTTGAGCAGTGACTATGTTGGAGGTGACCTAAGATCTTGTCGCGAGCTTTTGAAAAGACAAGATATTCTTGATAGTGAACTTGCACTCTGTGCAGGAAGGGTGGATGATCTAGTCAATAAAAGTAACGATATGATGCATGATGGTCATTTTGATGCCGACGCTATTCGTCAGAAGGCCTTAGATGGTCAGAAGAGGCTCAAAGATCTAGAGGAGCCATCACGAAAGAGAAGAGAAGCGCTAGATGAAGGTCTGAAGTTCTACAAATTTGGTTTTGAACTAGACACGGAATTGCAGTGGATTAAAGAACATCTTCCACTGGCTTCGTCTGAAACGCTCGGTCAAAATCTTCACCAAGCCCAAAACTTTTTCAAGAAACATAAAAAATTGGAGGCTGAAATAGCAGGTCATCAACCTGTCATTGACAAGACACTGCAAAACGGACAAAATTTGGTGGATTTAGACCATCCTCAAAGTGTCAGAATTCAAGAATTATGTGCCACCCTGAAAGATGCTTGGGACGAATTGAACACCAAAGCGGCCGAACGTGCACTGAAACTAGAATTGTCTTTGAAAGCTCAACAGTTCTTCTTTGAAGCGAACGAAGTGGAGTCTTGGTTGAACGAAAAAGCTGATATTTTAGCGAGTACTGACTACGGGAGAGACAGAGATGCTGCCACCAAACTGCTAACAAAGCATAAAGCTCTTGAACTAGAATTGGATACATATAACAACATCATTGTCGAAATGGGTCGTGGGGCTCAAGCTCTCATACAAAACAAGCACCCAGATTCAAAATTGATTGCGGAAAGACAAGCCAGTCTTGAACATCTGGTAAGATCTTTGCAACGAAAAGCGGTTCTAAGGCAACATCACCTCATGGAATCGCTATTCCGTCACGAGTACTTTTTGGAATCGGAAGAGCTTGAGAGGTGGATTGCTGAAAATCTGCAACATGCGTCGTCTGAAGATTACGGACAAGATTACGAACACTTATTGGTATGTTCTTATGAAGAATAATGAAACAAACTGACTTGATTTCGTAGGTGTTGCAAGGAAAATTCGATGATTTGAAACATCGGATTGAAGCAGGCGCTGAACGATTCCGACAGTGTGAAGATTTAGCTCAGAAACTAATAGCGAATGAAAGTTCTTATATTTCTGACATACAAAAGAAACAACTGCAACTAGAGTAAGTTTGGTGTAATGTTTGCTTGTTTATTTTCTTGTAGATTTGTTTGGTGTGGTTTATGCATCTGATTTGATAACTCATATACATTAAGTTTGTGGTTACGGTATAATCGCATGTGGTGTTGCAACTAACTGTTTTAGGACCCTTACCCCGTCACAAGCTGTTGAAGACGTTAAAGAAAGGCACGACGTCACACGGTAACGTATTATTTTGACTAACACTGTGTTTAAATGTGCATGTTTTTTTTTTGACGTACTGTTCGAATTTAAATCATAGGAAAATCGCTCAAATTGTAAATTGCCAGAATTTGTCTACATAAAACCGTGGATTACGTCATCTCTTAATGACTGTTATAACTTTTGTAAAAATAAATTTTGCGAAGCTTTGAGGATCATTTTTTTGGTAGAGGTGTTAACCAATGTAGGGTCAGAGATATTATAGCGGTGGTTATGTTGATAGTTCTCTTATATGTTTGTTGAACGTTTGTTACTTTTTTTTTAATGATAATATCAATGTAGGAAATCATGGGACAAATTACATGACCAAATGAAGAACCGCGAGAAGCGCCTCCTAGCGGCAGGCGAGATCCACCGCTTCCACCGAGACGTGGCCGAAGCCTTGCACCGAATCCACGAGAAGAGCGCAGCTTTGGGCACCGATTTAGGTCGTGACCTAAACTCAGCTTTAACTTTGTTACGAAAACACGAAGCTTTTGAAAACGAATTAGTAGCTCTAGAGGCTCAACTGCAAGTGCTCGTAGAAGACGCGTCCAAATTGCAGAAGGTCTATCCCAGTAATCAAACCAACATCCAGCAACAACAACAGCTTGTTGTTGAAGCTTGGAATGGTTTGAAAGAACGAACTGAACTGAGACACGACCAGCTTCAAGCTAGTGTTGACTTACAGAAATTCTTGGCTCAGGTTAGAGACTTGACAAACTGGGCGACCGCCTTAAGATTGGACATGAAAGCTGAAGAAAACGTCCGCAGCGTGCAAAGAGTGCAAGTTTTGAGATCAGAACACGAAGCACTGAAGAATGAGATTGAAGCTAGAGAAGGAGATTTTAGAGACGTTGCGGATAATCTTGCTGCTATGGAACAGACAGGGCATTATGCTGCCGCTGAAGCGGCAGACCGCTATAGGAATCTTCTACAGGAACGAGAAAACCTGCACACAGAGTGGCAGTTGAAGAAAGTTCATTTGGATCAGTTGTGCGATTTGCACATGTTGCTAAGGGAAGCTAAATTGATTGAGAATGCGACAAATGCGCAAGAAGCGGCTTTGAGTAATATGGATTTCGGAGAAACCGTAGATGAGGTTGTGAAACAAGTGAAGAAATATGAAGAATTCGAACGATTGATAGCACAACAAGATGAAAAACTGGACGTTCTGATTAACACGGGTAATAAATTGATCGCTCAGCAACATTTCGATAGTGAGCGCATTTCGCAACGTTTGAAAGAAGTAGCAGGCAAGAGACACAACGTCCATCAGTTGTGTGCCCACAGAAAACAACTTCTAGGAGACGCCCTTCTGTACGCCGAATTTAACAGAGACGTGAGCGAAGCTCAAACTTGGATAGCCGAAAAACAGAAGAATTTGGAAACACAAGTGAAGACTGGCGAAGTGACTAGTCTAGAAGATAAAATCAAAGAGTTGCAAAAGCATCAAGCTTTCCAAGCCGAAATCGCCGCCAACGAAGGCAAAATCAAAGAAGTCAAGTCGAAGGGAGAGACACTACTTAGAAAGAACCACAAAGCGTCTAAAGACATCCAGACGCAATTGAAGAACCTCGACGATGCCTGGAAGCAACTGTTGCGCGAAGTAAACTCCCGTGGAAAGGGTCTTGAAGAGGCACAAGACATTCTAGAATTCAATAACCAACTCGACAAGATCGAATCCTGGATCAGAGACAAAGAGGTCATGATTTTAGCCGGTGATGTAGGAAAAGACTACGAACATTGTCAAGCTTTGCAGAGGAAACTAGACGACGTTGATAGCGACATGCGCATTGATGATACCCGAATCAGAAACATCAACTCTCTAGCTGACAAACTCGCAACTCAAGGTCACCCAGGAGTGCAAGAAAGACGCGACAACTTCGTCAGAAAGTGGCACGATTTGCAAGGAGCTTTAGCCAACTATCGCGACCAACTGGCTGCGGCTTCTGAAATTCATTTGTTCGATCGGGACGTCGCCGATACTGCTGAAAGAATCACCGAGAAACGTCTAGCCATGGAGACTGACGACGTCGGACGCGATCTGGCGGCTGTGGAAGTTCTCACAAGAAAGCAAGACGCTTTGGAGAGCGAGATGACCGCCGTGGATAACAAATTGCAAGACCACGGCAAGGACGCCGTACTACTGAGTAACAAATATCCTCATTCCGTCAACCACCTCCAAGCCAAAATGGATGAGTTGCAAGACGAGTGGGAGAAGCTTCTAACGGCAAGAGAAGCTAGAAGAAGCAATCTAAAAGGATCGCACGCCCGCCACAAGTTCTTGTCGGATGTTAAAGACCTAGAGGTGTGGGTTATTGACACCATCAAAAGAATGGAAGCGCACCAAAAACCAAACAATGTTAATGATGCCGAAACTCTTCTAGCTCTTCACGACGAGTTGAAAGCCGAGATTAACGGACGCAACGAGACCTTCGCTAAGTTGATCAGTTTCGGTCGGAGTTTCTCGGAGAGTGATGATCCCGATATCATCGAAGGGGTGAGTCGACTCGAGGACTTGCAAGAAAACATCCAACAAGTGTGGGAGCAATACAGAGACGCGTTAACCTACGAATACGATCTTCAAGATTTCAAGGAACAGGCGAATCAATTGAACAACTGGTTGGCAGCGAAGGAAGCGTTTTTGAATAATGATGACGTTGGTGATACTCCTCGTGCGGTAGAAGCGTTGATCAGAAAACACGAAGACTTTGAAACCATGTTAACCCAGCAGCTGACACGCATCGACGAACTATCACAGAAGAAAGTCGGCGATAAAATCCCTTCAGATCCTCACTATCCGAATAGTGAGGTGGCCACTCGATTGAATGAAATAATCGCCCGGAAGGACCGGCTTCTGGATAAAGCCGCCGAACGCAAGAAAATCCTGAACGAATCACGGGCGTTCCAGAGGTTCTTGAAGAACGAATATGACGTTGAAGTCTGGTTGAACCAGAAACTCCAAATTGCTAGTGATGAAAATTATCGCGAACCGTACAACTTGCAGAGCAAAATTCAGAAACATGCTACTTTTGAAGCTGAAATATTCGCCAACCACGAACGGGTCAATAGCGTGATTGAAGAAGGGCGTGATTTGATCGAAAATAATCACTATGCAGCTAAAGACATCATCATCCGAATCGAAGACTTGGAAAATTGCTGGAAGCAGGTTCTCGAGAAATCGCAACTGAAACGAGATCGTTTGAACGAAGCATATCAAGCTCTGCTCTTCAACCGGTCACTCGAAGAGTTTGAGGCATGGCTGTCCGAAGTGGAATCGCAGTTGAATTCGACCGATACAGGCAAAGATTTAGCGTCGGTGAATAACTTCCTGAAAAAACACACTGCTTTGGAGAATGATATTCACCAACATTCAGAAAACTGTGAAAGTATTAATGATGCGGCTGATCAGTTCGTGAAGAACGACCATTTCATGAGTGAAGAGATTCAGCAGAGGGCGCACGACGCAATCACCAGGTACCACCAACTGAAGGAACCTCTTCAGCAGAAGCGAGATTTGTTGGAGGGTTCGATGATGTTGCAGCAGTTCACTAGGGACGTAGATGATGAATTGCAGTGGTTGGTTGACAGAGAACCTCTAGCTGCTTCTACTGATTTAGGAACAAGTTTGACGACAGTACAAAGTTTGCATAAGAAGCATCAAGCCCTCGAAGCTGAGTTGTCATCAAGGGAACCAATCATTGGATCGCTGCTGTCCAGAGCAACTCACCTTACTCGATCAGGACATAGCTCGGCACCGTTCATCAACAAAAAATCGAAAGAGTTGCAACAGAAATTCGCACAGGTTAGAGACTTGGCGAGTCTGAGGAGGCTTCGATTACAAGATGCTTTGGAAGTACAAACGGTAACGTAGTTTAAATTAAATTTGGGGATTTTAATGACACTAATTTGTGTGTAGTATTATGAAGAGGCTGCAGAAGCCGAAGCTTGGATACGCGATAAGCGACCACTTCTGGCTACCAAAGAAGTTGGTAAGGATGAAGATTCCGCCGAGTCATTGAAACGTAAACTAGAAGCTGTAACACTGGAAGTGAAAGCATTTGAGGTTACCATCAACAAGTTAAGGCAGACCGCCGAGGAGTTGATAGAGCGGCAGCATTACGACGCCAGAAACATTGACACAAAGAAGGTAAGTACAAGCCAGGTCAATTGCAACGGTAGAACTATTTCTTTGCGCAGAACCAGTTAGACGACCAATTCAAAGAACTCCGAAAACTCGTGTCCGAACGTGAGGTACGCCTATCCGAAGCCCTCCAATACTTCGCTTTCGTCCGCGAATGCGTAGATGTCCAGGAATGGATGAAAGACCAAATCCAGAAAACCGACTCAGAAGAATACGGAAACGACGTCGAGCATGTCGAACTGTTAATCCAAGCCTTTGACACTTTCCACGCCAGTTTAATGAGCAGCGAGCCCCGAATCCATTCTTGCATCCAGAACGGTAATCTTCTGATTGATGCTAAGAGCAGCCATAGTTCTGAAGTCCAACAAAGAGTGTCTGAAGTCCGCGATCACTGGAATGATCTTCTCGAACTTGCCAATGCGCGTAAAGACGCGCTAGCTGGAGCTAAGCAAGTCCACGTTTTTGATAGAACAGCTGAAGAGATCATTTCGTGGATTCAAGAGAAGCATGGGGACTTGCAGTATGACACGTACGGGCAAGACTTGGAAATTATACAAGATCAGCTTAGGAATCATCAAGGTTTAGAGAATGAGATGAAAGCGATAAGAGAAAAGGTCGAATATGTGGAACAAGAAGGAGAGAAGTTGATTAATGAATTCCCCGATACGAAGGAGCACATTGATGATAAGTGTGAAGACATGTTGAGTGCGTGGGGAGGATTGCAAACCGATGCCGCAACAAGGAAAAATCATCTTCAACAAGCCGAACAACTACAAGCGTACTTCGATAACTATCAAGACTTATTGTAAGTTATGTTTGAATAAGAATAGTTTAGATTTTAGTGACGTGTTTTAGGGCATGGATTAACGAAATGTTGGCCAAGATCACCGCGCCAGATCTACCAAGTGATTGTAATGAAGCAGAACTTTTGATAGAAAGACACAAAGAGCATCAAGTTGAAATCAAAGCCAAGTCGAATATGTTCAAACAATTTTATGATTCAGGCAACAAGTTTATAGCAGAAGAACACTTGTTTGCGACCGATATCGCCGAGAAAATAAAAATTTTGCGACAGAGGCTGGATTTATTAAATAACGTTTGGGAAAAACGGAGTATTTTGTATGATCACAATTTGGATGTACAACTATTTAAACGCGAAGCTACTACTTTGGAAACTTGGTTGGTCGTTAGAGAAGGAACCTTGAAAGATGGAACGGTTGGCGACAACATTTCTCATGTGGAAGAACTTATACGTAAACACCGTGACTTTGAAGAAGCTATCAAAGCACAAGAAGACAAGTTCGAGGGACTTAAACGAAAAACTTTGGTATGTACTTATTATACAAATTTTTGACCCTATTATTTATCTTCCAATCCCTCTCTCTTTAGATCGAAGACGCATTCCTTCTCCAACGCGAACAAGAAGCCCTAGCCCGAAAGGCTGAGAAAGAACGTCTTGAACAAGAACGACTGGAACAACGCAAACGCTTCGAAATCCAAAAAATCAACGAAAAGCGGCGTCAAGAAATGCCACGCCAAATCGAAGTCCCCCAAATCCAAATGAACGGAACCAAACAAGAAGAAGTTACGAAAGAAGAACGTCCCATTCCCACAGTCCGTAAAACAAACTCAGTCGTACAAACGTTCGAACGAGAGAGAGATCGCAGTGGTTTGAGAAGAGGGTCAGATAGTTCGGTACAACGTTCAGCTAGTATGAAGGTTGGTACCCCCGGAACGGTTAACAAACCAAAACGAACACCCACTTTTACGACGAGGAGACGCGGATCATTTAAAGCGAAAGCCAATGGTGAGTGATTGTTTGAAGACGTGGTCATAGATTTAACTATTTTGTGCAGATGTGATGCCCCCAGCCGATGCACAGTCAATGTTGGAACGAAAACAGTTGGCAACAGCCGGTGCCAAGCGGGCGTCTAACAGAGGGTGGAAGACTTCGTATACAGTTTTGTGTGGACAGTTGTTGTGTTTCTTTAAGGGTAAAGAAGATTTCGCGGCGAGCAAGGCCAGTGGTCCACCAGTTAACATTCACAACGCACTGTGTACAGTGGCTGATGATTACCAAAAGAAAAAGCATACGTTCCGATTGGCCATTACCGACGGGTCAGAATTCTTATTCGCGTGTAATACGGAGGTGGAAATGGACGATTGGATCCAGAAAATTAATTTTAGGGCGAAACTACCGCCAAGTCAACAATTGTTACATTTGGAAATTCCGAAGGTTTGTTTAAGTGTTAACGATGTTAATTATGACTTATAAAATGTATTTTAAGGACCAAAATGAATTCGAGATGAGTTCCCAAAGTAGCAGGACCTCTAGTCCGGACGTTTCCGAGCAGGTCGTTCTACGACACGATCCCCAAAACCAGAATGGTAGTTTGTCAAACATATCATCAACCCGCCATACTATGGGTAGGTTTTGAATTTAGTTGTGGAAATTTTCATGTTTCAATGCCTGCGAAAAACTGGTCATAACGATCATGTCATCTGTTAAGTTTAACAGAGTTTCACCATCAACTTGTGTCCAAAATAACCGTCACTCTGAGGACTAAACGGGTTAATTAATCTTACCTAAAATTAACTTGAATGAGTAAGATCTTTTTTTAATGTTGGTCCTACTAATTTAGGGGAAAGTCCACCACCTTTACCGATGAGTGAACCGCCAATTAATTATGCCGGACATCGTCCATATACCTTAGAAACCAGTGGATCTATTTATGGTTAGTCAGCATGCAGCACAAGAAAACTAACTTGCACTGATTTCAAACTAATTTATAACTCTCTTTCTGTTCTGTTTCCTGTCTTTCCTCATGGCTCATGGGTTTCGGGAATAATTGTAGTTTCACTTGTCTGATTTATGTTTTTACGTAGATGCCGGCGGTATGTCGTCGAAGCAAGAGTGGCAACATCCTGCGCAACGTCCAGCCAGCATGCAGCCTAATAATGATGCACCAAAGTCCCGTTTGTTCGAAAGAATTTTCAAAAAGAAGCGAAACACATCCCAAATGTAACTAAGATTTCGTACATCCATAGCATAGTACCTTGTAGTATTATATTTACATGATTGTTTTCTTTTGTACATAGATTCATAAGTATTATATGAAGTTACACAACAATTATAAAATTTTATTATTTCAAAATATATTTTTAAGTTATCTTTGCGCTTTAATAATGTTTATCCCATATCCACCTAACTTGTCACTTTCACTACCCCTGTCCAGGTTTTTGTTGTATCATTAAATTACTGTCTTATTTATAATGAGCACAGCTCAGTACACATCTGTACTGAAAATAGTTTTCAATGCAACTAAAGTATTCATAATAATCCCCCAAAACCCAATCTGAAGTGCACGTCACCAAAGTTACATAAATGCATCTGTTTTAAACACATACAACTTGAGCTTCACATACCACAAACCCAGTACAATTTATGGCATTCAAAAAGATTAGATTGTATTAGTTCAAAATTTTCAATTTTGTCATTGCTGATTTATCTGGAAATTGACGCCAAACTATAAACATTGACGGTTAATTTAATACCCCAGCACAATAATCATTTCCAAGCGTTTCTAGTAGTTGTATCATAGAATTGTGCCAACATTTTGCATCACTAGGATAGAGTTATCAGGGAAAAATTTGGTGTTTACAAAAAAGACTAGTTACAACAATTTATTACGAGCTATCTGAGATTCAACACTAGAGTCGTTAAACTAAACACACCTACTTATATGAGGGAATATCTGCCGGTTTTGGTAGATCATTGTGGAACTCCAAGTATCCAATGGCCTTACCAAAAATGATGGTACCAGTGAGCAACCCAATTCCGCCTATTAGTTGAGCATTAAATTTCCTCTGGTTCGCATCGTTTTGGGTTTGCCAGCTTCCTTGTGGGCTTGGAAGATCGTTTATGGTTGTCTTGGCCAATCCGCTCTCAGTGTAATTCCTTCGAACTGAAAGATTTATGGTTACAAATGACACTTGTGACGCAACAAAACTCACTTTGTTTGATAACGGAACTACGAAGTAGTCTAGGTGCTTGCATTTTTATTGTTACTAAGAGATAAGGTGGAAATTAAAGTGGTTTTTTCTATTGATTATGCAACAATGCTGAATTCGATCACTGAAAATGACAAGTCGCCATATGTGGGAATGTACCACCAAAGCAAACTGAAATGTCACTAAATGTCAATGTTGCCAATATTAAATTTAAATTCGACTCTAAAAATTCCATTTCATTATGTCGATTTTACGCTCAATTCATTAATTTATAAATAATTAATAACAGAAGCGCTAGGTTTCATTCACTATATCTCCTTTACAACCAAACACAAACATTTGTGCTTTTTATTGTTTTATTACAGTCTTCTTTAGATAACATCTTATCTTCACAGTTTAGTGATAAATTGTACAACTATTTTAAACAGAAGGCTTGATGTCCTGTATATTAATTAGTCTGATTAAGATTGCAAACACTAAAATTAATATGTATTAAATACAAATTGAAAAATCTAAAAGCAATAGCGTTTAAAAAAATGGAAAACACACAAGTATAAAATATCTTGACATAATAAATAAGAATAAAAAGTGGAGGGAAAAACGTTGAAAAGAGAGCTTGTGGGATACGCAAAATTAAAAACTGGTCTTTAACTCCTCCATTCTGTATGACATTATTCTCCTCATTTCGTGATATCTACAAAACAGATATGTAAACAAGATCAAACCGATTTTCACCTTACTTTTCTTTCAATTTAGCAACTTCTTTCTCTTCCTGGGAGTAATACTGGCTTAAAATAGCACGGCATTCAGCTAAAGAGAGATTCAAAAATTGTGCTACCTCACTACTAACTTCAGGAGTATTATGACTATCCATTAAAAATAATTTAGCGACGTCTTCATGCGGCCCTAATACAACGCGCGTCAACAACGGATACTCATCTTCCTTCAGTCGTCTTTGTTCTACAAACCAAAAACTCACTCAAACATACAACTCCCCTAAACCTACCCACCGCCATTATCTCGAACAACAAACAGAGCAAAATTACTCCCATCACTGTCAACCTTATATTTATCCAGCATCAGATTTATGACTTCTTGCGTATTGACTAGCGACGTCACCCAAACACTCGTTTGACTTCCATGCGGTGGCGTGAAGAAACTCGTTTCTCTGTCGTAAAAATGGCCGTTTATTGAACACCTACGTTTTACTTTACTTCGAGATAATCTTTTGCCTGGTCTTCGTCTTATTGCCGTTGAGCCCGTTTTCGCTGGTCTTCGAATGACCACATCACCAAGTGCTTCAGACATCGTTGATATGTCGGTACTCGTAATTGACGATCGATCGAATTCCGGGGACTGCGGATCCCGGAGCCTCCCTAAACAATCAGGGCCGGACATCGATCGATTTAAATGATTGCTGTTCTCCAGCCAAGTATCGTCTTTACTAATTGACCTTTTCAAGGGTGAAAGTTCGTCGGTTGTAGTGCCGTTTTCAAGGGGTTGTTGTATTGTTTCGCTGTCAACTGTTTTGTCGCTGTTATCGCCTTGATAACTAAAACGAAAAGATTTCAAGGTCTTTGCATGCATTTCACTTAAAATATAGCCTTTAAAATGGAATTACAGGTGAAATGAAAAATGAAAATGGAAATTTAGAACGAAACGATTTTTTGACCCGATTGAGAACAGCGCACATGAGTATTACGATTAATTAGGATCGTTGAGAGCCATACGTTGATCGAAATTACATAATTACTATAATTAGGTCGTATACATATACTAATAAAACGAAAAAACGTCAATGTGACGTGTTCATGATGGTTTTGAACCTTCACCATACTTTAATTAACTTGTTGCTTTAAACCAACCAACAATAAAAAATCTTTTTCTCTAATATAGAAAGATAAACTAATACCGAAATAGCTACTAAATTAGCAGCTCGATGTTTTATGTACCTTAAGTCCGACCTTGTATTTGGGTTTATTCTCATCGTGAAAAAAAAATAATTCTTTAGGTAAACCTTTACATAAACGAGTTGACACGGTGTTAAATTTTAATAAAAATAGAAAAAGAGGTACAGATTACCATAGTAACAAGGTCTCATTGCCAAAGATTAGACAAATTTGTAGATAGAAAACTGGAGAGCTTCAGAAATGGAAACTTGTTACTTGAATATTCACGGCTTTTATGGTAATGAGCATTATGTACTTATTTAGAAAATTATTTCCGTCACTCCATATTCATTATTTTAACACTCTTATTTACGAATAAACTTGTTAGAGCCATAAAATAGTCTTCCACATGCACAAGATACTAATTTGAAAAACAGTCTCCCATATTGGCATGAATTTATTTACCTGCAAAGTGACCCTGGCTCGTGCTACAAAATTCATCCGATTTAAATTATATTGCATAAAGCTACCGAAAATAACGGGTGTGTCGTAAAAATATCGCCAGATATTTATTGTTGCATGCTGTTACTCCAATGTAGTGTGAGCAGTGTCAACGATCCTTGTTGGAAGCTCGGGCACACAATATCAGGTTGTAAAAACTGTGTTGTGCCATTATGTAAATGTGTCATCCACCTTACAATATTAAAAAAAATCATGATTCATCATAATATACTTTTCTTTCAACACTACCAAGTGCCCATGAGTCATCATCCCCACTACTGGTGGTCGCCTTAACGATGCGGCCTTTATAAGCAGATATGTGATTAAAATGCATTCCCAAAATGTAAATGCCAGAATTGGCTCAACACAGAAACAAGCTTTTTTTACCAGTAGTAGCTTCGGAAAAACACAGGGGTTTGTAAATTTTGTTTTACTTGCAATATTTTGCTCGTTAGTGAAAGATATGACGTGCGATAAAAACCAGGGTTAATGACATATTGAATAACAATAAGATGGCGTCAAAGCACCATTCAAAAGCAACAGATGGAGCAGTGGCTATAAGCAATGCGATTTTGTAATTCTTAGATCTTCACATCGATAACCTTAAGTGTATGTCAATGAATAAATTGTCCATCATTAATATCAATTAAATAACCAACCCAAACTAGAAGCAAGAAATTAAAAAAATCTTCCTCCTGAATTAAATTATTAAAATTTAAATATATATTTTAGTTCGTAAACTCGTTTATAAAGAGGAAAACAACAATCAGACGACATTAGTCCTGAAAGGTCAAAAAGCTTTAAAATTGTGAAAACACATTCCAGAGGAAGCTGTTAATTCAAACTACAATAAGGCAAAAATTAAACCTGATTTACACAAGAAAAATAACTGTCAACAATCTCTACTAAGACAAATACAATGAACTAATTTAACTCAGTCTTTCATACGTAAATCATTACTTAAATCATAGTAGTCCACATTAAATAGTTCTAAAAATTTAATGATGCCATATCCGCCAATCATTCTGGCCAATTAAATACACCATTCCTCTGTTTCAGTACCGTAATAGTTATTTACGATATGTGTATCGTAATGTGGAATTTTACGATACGCAATGAAAAAATTGTTCAACGAGTCGAAGCGAGTTAGGTAATTCATCAAGTATCATACAAACACATTAGGATACAAATATTGTCCAACGTTTTATCTACTTTCCTAAGTAATATACACACATTTTTATGTTTTTAATAATACATTTATGGAAAAATAATAGGACGATTGGTTTAATAGTGATTCAGAGGAAAATCAATAATAATAGGCTAATTTCTGTTAAATCTAGAGAGCGTTACGAGATAGCGTGCAACTATTTTGAAGAATGGATGGAAGTTAAGAAAATTCATAAAATTTCTGTTTATTTTGTACAACAAACAGGGAAACTCAAACTATCATCCTTATGGTGTCGGTATTCTATAGTGTGAAACTTAGTGTTGATTAAGAAGACTAGTGAAATTTGTCCATAACTTTCTTTATTTATATAAAGACAAATAGTTTATGATCATACTTTTTTTTTTTATTTTAGTGAAATTTTTGTATAACGTATTTTTAAAAATCAATGTTTCAATTGTTTAATGAAATTTCGGAACACGGTTTTCAACACTGTTTTCAGCGTACAAAATTCCAGCAATCGTATCAGACATATCGTCGACTTTTATGTTAGAAACGATACACAGTAAAAAAATTGGTCGAAAGTTATGCTGCTCCTCTGAAAAATTATAAAATTAGACTTTGGGGAATTTTATTTTTTCGTGATAACCTCTATGGAGTAAAAATAAAATAAAAGGTACTGGTCTCAGTGAAATCGAAAAAAAGAAGGTTTCACCTTCTTAAAAAAGACACTTGGGAAACCCGAGCTTTCACATTCTTAAAAAGACAGTTGGAACCCACCGAAAAAAATTCATATTCTTAAAAAAGACCTTAGGCGCCCCCGGGGTTTTACATTAAAAAAAAAAAAAAAAAATTGGGACCCTCCGAGAAGGTTTCACATTCTTAAAAGACATTTGACGACATTTTTTAATAAAGAGGGGCGTGTTCTCACCTTTTCGAGAAAGTGGGGTAATTTCAAGAATATGTAAAAATTTTTATGACGTCATTATTATAGCATACTTTAGGTTTTTGTAAAAATTTGGACGGTTAGGGAACAACTCAAAGCGGATTCGTCCACCACACTTATAGCACTATATTGTTGTATAACAGTTAAATCAAATAAACATAGGATTCTTTGAAATGACATCATCAAATTGTTGATTTTGAATTGATTGGCAAAATTTTGGTTAGCATTTCAAATATATGTACATACAAAATTTGACAACAATCGGTCCAGCAGTTTTGGAGATTACGTGTCTAATAACAATGGTTACAGACACCAGACAGACAGACGAAAATGAGAGACTACTTTTTTCGTACTGTAGGGGTTATGAAACGTCGAGAAAATATAAAAGTGGCCATTCGTCCGATGGACTCGATTAGTATACTTCCTTAGCTTACGCTCGGGAAGTAAAAAAAACTTGTACCGTAGAAGCTGTTAAACATTTATTTTTACTATATATCAGTTCGAACAAATAAAGTTGAAACTACATTTCGATTTCTAAAGTTTTGTAAGCTGAAAACAAAATTAATTACTAAAATATTGTTTTTTGAAAATACCTGATCAAAAATTTCAAAATATATTATAATAAACTCTTTAAAAAAACTGCCCTCGGTTAATACCGGGTGCCTGGAAAATGGCGAACTAACTCTTCAGTACATTATCCCAAAAAAATAATAGGAAAATTCTTTATGTTGTAGACTACGAAAAAATTGTAATTTTATAAAAGTAAAATTGGCAATACTGCACACACCTAATGCGTTAATTACCTCTGGCTTACTTTCTGATTTCTTAGTAACGATGATGACTGAAATCCACCTTTTTTTTTTTAGGACAATAACCATAACAATCATCACAATCAATCAACGATTAATGTGCATTATTATTAATAAAACAAGGTGTTATTTTTCATTGACAATAAACCAAAAAAAAAAAATTATAAATATAAACAAAATCAAAATTCCTGCCTTGTGCATATAAGTAAGCTCGTAATGTTTCCAAATTTTGTTCATTTTTTTGTAAAAATTTGTCATCAGTACTTGCTAAGATAAAACTGACGTTGGCAAATAACATACCCTCTAAGAAAACAGAGGGTGGGTGGGCGGGGCTACTAGCTGCTAATATAAGACTGATTTTGGAAAATGAGATACCTTGTAAGAAAAAAGAGGGCGAGTGGGCGAGGTTAGTACCTGTTAAGATAAAACTGATTTTGGCAACTGACATACCCTCTAAGAAAGAGAGGGTGGGTGGGCGGGGCTAGTATCTGCTAAGATAAGACTGATTTTGGAAAATGAGATACCTTGTAAGAAAAAAGAGGGCGGGTGGGCGAGGTTAGTACCTGTTAAGATAAAACTGATTTTGGCAACTGACATATCTTCTAAGAAAGAGAGGGTGGGTGGGCGGGGCTAGTATCTGCTAAGATAAGACTAATTTTGGCAGATGACTAGCGCGGGGAATAAAATCTAACTGCTGCAATCGCTCAGTTGAAGTAAGGTGTTTTACAGCGAGTAGTGGGGACGCTTTGATCTGGTCCACAAGGGCGTCGCCAGTGCGTCTCACTAGGAGTGTTTACAGCTGCTAATATTACTACAGTAGACTCATTTGACATACACCTTGTAAAACTTTTATGACTATAATTTAACTCAATTCACAGCTCTATTATGGCAACAATGGACAGTAATAATCCTTGCGGTTCGGGTCCACAAAGCTTACAATAGCCAGTTTGACTTATAAAGGTGGTTTGGCTGAAGTCGCTGAAGTCATAAAAGATTTACAAGGTGTATGTTAAGTGAGTTTACAGTACTTCTGTACTACTACGAGTATATTACTTCAAAAAATAATATTCCGTGCCCTTTTTAAATTTTCAACCACAGGGCCACAGATTTGTGATTTTGAAATGTGTTATTATTAGGGATGTACCGACTGTAGGTCTGGCCGACTAACCGACTAGCCGATTGTTCGGCCAGTAAAAACCGACTAGTCGGCCGAATGTTCGGCTTTGCTAAAACCGGTTTATAAATGCGACAGACACTGTTTTTTTTCTATTTCTTTGACTACCTTAAAAATTGTTTTATTTTAATAAAAGGAATAACTAAAGTTCCTTTGTTTTCCAAAAAATGTGTTAAATTTGTTTGGATAATTTTAACATTTAATTTTTTTTTGTAGTAACTCAGTACAAAAATAAAGAATAACACAATTTAGGGTCAGTTTATAGAATATTTTAACTGAGATTAAGTTGATCACACATTAACAAGGCCATTAGCGACGTCTGATTGGCGTAGGGTCGGTCACATGGTACTTTAACGCCATGTTAAAAATTAAATCGCAATTAATTATTTAATTGAGGTTCTTTCTGTAAACCGGGTTTAATTGTATTATATACTATTTTAATTTTAATAAAAAAAGCCGACCGATCGGCTATTTAGCCGACCAGTCGCCGACTGCCAGCCGACGATGAAAAACGGCCGAATAGTCGGCTTATCCGACCGGTCGGCCACTAGTCGGTACATCCCTAGTTATTATGTTAATATAGTCTAAAAAGGAAATACATTTGTAATCATCTAAGAAAAGAGAGGGCGAGTGGGTGGAGCTAGTACCTGTTAGGACTGATTTTGGCAAATGACATTCTCTAAGAAAATCAAGGGCGGGCGGGCGGGCGGGGCTAGTACCTTTCCAAACAGGAAACCTAGAACCTCAAGATTGTTTTAAATTAAAAAAAAAAAAAAACAACGGGGTCCCAAAATTAACGCAAAAACACAGGCCATGTCACAATTTTTCAAAAATAGAACACCAAAGTCCCCCAAAATTCTTTTAAATAAGTTACAAAAAAAATCTCCATGGGCTCCCAAAATAATACACCATGGGTATCCAAGAGTCTCCCGAATTAAAAAAAAAAATACGGTACTCAAAACTTTTTCAATTTCGTAAAAAAAATTAAACCCTAAAAGTTCAAAGATTTTTTCAAGTTCATCCAACAACAAAACATCAGATTCCTGAAAATATATTGACAAGACCATAAGAGACAAACGTAGCAACTCGAACAGCCTCGGGGAATATCTCAAGGCGGACTCATAAACAACAAATACAGAAATATGTGACTTTATAAAATTTAAATCCTATATATTTACTACGAAAAATTTTGGGAGGATATCATTGCATTAGGCAAATTCTGGTTAGGGTTTTATCATCTACACGACATTCCTAATATACATAAAATTTGACAATCCGGTTGTTCCGGAGATTATCTCTCTAATAAAAATCTGAGCAAACGGCAGTCAGTCAGTCACACAGACAGACGGAGTCAGGAGGAAGAAAAAATCCAGAATCAAAGTAGGTACAAATAATATTACAATTATTAAAAAAAATTTTGAAATAGTTTACAAATACATATAACTTTTTTTTTGAAAAAAATATTCCTCAATTCGGCGCGAGTAAATAAAAGTAAATAAGTACATAAAATTTTGGTGCCATTCACAGATGGCATTCTTTGCAATGCAGAAAAATACAGGTTTTGTATTTCACCAATTCAATGGTAATTGGTTTACATGGTGTATTTATTGGTTAATTCAATGTGAACCAGGTTTGAAACTTGTTTTCACTGTCGCCCCACAAAACAGCACTTGGTAGTATTACTTCACTTCCATTAGAAAAAAAAAATGTTTGAAAATTTGAATATTAATAATAACCATCTGTGGCAGTTGCAATTTTTTTTTTTTTTCGGAATCGTTGGTAATTTTTTAAAATATTCGAAAAATTCTACAGAAACACATCAAATAATTGTTCTTCTATAAAAGCAACAACTATAAAAATATAAATAAACTAAAACAAACAATGTCAAAGGTTGATTAGCATAACTAGTTATCGTGTTAGGTGTTATCAGTAGGCACCGCATGCATAAACAAATGTATGACACATATTCTCTCAAAACGCAACTACTTTGTATAGATAGAAATCACGCTGTGGGCGGAAAAATACAAAAAAAATAAAAGTCAGTTGTGACGTTGATATGTTGTAAAATTGAGACCAAGGCGCTATACAAACATCATTGAGAACACAGTGATTAGCATGGTTCTGATTTATTTGATCCAATATAAATTTACTTCTTTTCTCCACAAAATTTTAAGCAATACAATATTCCTACCCATGGTGGACTTAACGGTAGTATCTAGTTAACGATTATTAGATTGTCCAAAAAATAATTGGTTCTAAAGGAAAACTGACAGGACGTCATGACAAAATTATGACAACTAGTAAAGCAAACATTCCTATATCAGTACTTCTCTTATCTTAACTTAAACATGTAATCCAAATTTCCGCGTTATCACAGTTAATTAAGTTAATAACTGGGTTGTAATTGCTATACAATTCCTCTACAATAATTGTTGAATTACTAACTCGAGATTGTGATTTGTTAATCTGGCCTGCCATGCACACGGTACTGGTATCGTATATTTTGCATATTATAGGAATAAAAATTAAGCTTATACCAGAATCGCCCAAATGATGCAGTGGTCACTTGAATTTACCGGAGTTTCATTCCATGTGTCTAATCAATAGCAACGCTGGCTTCATTGTTTACGTGCTTTTATTACCGATATTTTTAAGTGATGTTGCATATGGACATAACGTACCACCTGATGGGACGTTAATAATAGAATACGGCTATGTCTATACCAGTGTCAAAACAATGTTGAACACTGACTAACTGTCGTGCTTATTAAAACCAATTAAGAATCAAATGAACCACGAAGTCATTAAAGGGAAAAATTAACTGACCAGTAATTCAATACAAATCTAACACAGCAATTATTATTTTTTCATTTTAATATGTGAACATCAGCTGATGTTTTTTAAATAATAGGTACGCTCCCCATTATTACGAAATCGTATAGTCATCCAATTTTAAACCCCACAAACAATAAAATTGCTCACTTTATGATCATTAATTACAAAAGCACACCTGTAATTACCTACCTTTCAGTTTTTGTACTGCTGTCATTACTCTGTGTGGAAGAACTAGTTTCTGTACTTGACTGGGATGGCAGTGGTACAGGCATAGTTTGATATATTTTATCAGACTCATCAAATTTCCTTTCAACTTGCAATAATTCATCCAGCTCATCCCACTCCAAATTCTTCACATCCAATTTCGAGGGTAGGGTTACACTTTTAGGCAACATCTCCATTGGAGGTGTAATGGGGCTATTCTCAGCGGTACTGGTATCAGTGGAATCAAGCCCGCTTTCAGTTCCTGTATCTGACTTATTCATATCACTAAAATCTAAACTAGTCGAAATATCCGAGCAAGTGGAAATATCATTATAACTGGTATCACGAGAAAGACTTTGTACATCATCATCTGAATCATTATCTGTACTTGTAGAGATGCGACACGAATTTCGTTTCCTCACTGTAACGACAGTACGCTGGTCATCGTTCTCTTTCAAATGTATCACACCTTGAACACCCCAATAGATACGTAAAGACCCTTCTAAAATCAACCGCCCGTTAACTTCGCGACTACGAATTTCGCCGCTTTTCCCTTCAAAAAACTGATTGTAGACCTGCAATTGTCACGTTTATGGCATATTCAGAAACTTGAGATCGTTACCTTTATTTTTGATTCTAAATGTGATCTAGGCAGTGATGGCCCATTTCCAACTTTAGACACGTCTTTCTGTTGGCCGAAACTCTTGTGCGACTCCACTCTCGTCCCGTGTCCGAACAGCTGCGGCCCAAACAGGGCCCCATAACAAGGCACATGGCAATAGGGCACTCCTTTGTGTTCGGCGTGCTGCCCTGGGTTCAGCCTTTTGCCGCACTCCTCGCAACGCAAACATTCTGGATGCCAATTATATCCCAGAGACTGCTTTCTCTCCGCTGCAACGCGATTTTTAAAGCAATTTAACCTTGGTTATGTCTTTATTTGACATTCTTGCATGTGGAGGAGTGACAAGACATCAAAGCTAACTAGATTGTGTTTTCGTTGGAATTGTAACAAGAAAACAACCACTTGGACTTTGAATCAGAAATAAACATCGCTAAAGGGGCTCCGATGGTGAGCTTTGGATTGAATGAAATGTTTACAAACTTACCGAAATATACGGGTTTTCCGCACTTGTGACATTTCCACATTATACTATTTTAAAATGAAACAAACAGGCACAAAAAACAACTTAAAACAACGGAGAAAAGTAAACATTTGTATCACATTCACATTATATGGCCTTAGCTGAAGCACCATCACCATCAGATGATTTCATTGTCGTGCTGCAGGTCGTGCTGGGACAAGAGCCTAATTGTTAGTGTCTGAAGGGTTAGGCACGAAAAGGCGGCGCTGTTTTTTGGGTTGCATATCTCATGTCAAATAAATATGTAGATTAATTTTATCTTTATGTTAATCATTATACGATAATAGTGCCACAAATATTGCAAAATTTTCTGCACTGAATTTTTTAATATTATTTTATCTATAATTCTCTCTCAATGTTACGGTTATCGGCTTTGTAATTATATAATGACTCTAATAATAAGTGAGCAATTTAGACAAAACATGTATTTCGTTGTAGATAACTAGCCTAAAATTAGTAAAATTATCAGTTACTTAGTTTAGGTCACGGTGTTTAGGTGTTAATATTTTTTACTTTGAAATAGTACAAACTAGCCATGTAGAATGCAGGGCTATAATAATATCAACGAAATGACCTGACATTCTTAAAATTTATTTTTTTACCTGTAATAATACAGAATATTTCCAACATATGATTGTGACGGTGTAAACAATTTTTCTAATTATACTCGTATTTGGCGGTGTACATTTAAAATATAACTTATGTATGGTATATTTCCCTCTCACAGTACTTACCTAACACCTACCTACCACATTTCGTGTTATGTAGTAGATCTTCGTACTTATTATTGTACAAAGACTACAAATGGTTCACTCTTCTCTTTGGTTTTAATGACTTTCTTATTTTAAAGATTTATTACTTGACTTACTTGATATTATTTAGGGTGTGGAAGTGAGGAAAAATGTTCAGTATAGAGTAGTACTTGAACCCATGTCCCTTCGATTGCCGGGCAAGTACTGTATCATGGCAAGTACTCTCCCAACTGAGAGCTATCGTGTCGTACATATTTTTCCTCACTTTCTCCTACATATTGTGCCACTACACTAGCTTTATTGTTTCTCTTTAACGCCTACTCTTTCTTCTTAAATTTCTCTCTAATTAGCACTATTTTCTTTACTTCCATTTCTGTGGAGAGATGAAGCAGTGCAAGGAGTTGCAAAAGCTGCAATATATTTGTGAAAACTGGAGTTCAAAGCATAGTTAAGTAGCAAATGAAATAAGTAACGATTGCTTTATGAATAACACAATAACAGATTCGTTCAGAAACATAATATTTAAATATAAATTTGAATGAAAGGACGACTATCGAAGATACAAACATGTTTGCTGTAATGGTCTTCGGTGAACTCTTGTTTCTAAAATGCAGTGGCGGCTCGTGACCTTTTGAAATGGTGGGACTTGGGACACAATTTGATTGATGAGTTAATTATGAAGATATAAAACAGGTTGTTATTATCAATTCATAGACGAAATTGTGTGACGGAAATAAATACAAAAATACATTCAATAAAAGTAAAAAAGTATTTGTCCATATACCTACCATTGGTTTTAACTAATTACTGCTAAGATAAAACTGATTTTGGCAAATGACATACCCTCTAAGAAAAGAGAAGGTGGGTGGCAGGGCTAATAGCTGCTAAAATAAGACCAATTTTGGCAAATGACATACCCTCTAAGAAAAGAGAGGGTGGTGGGTGGGGCGAATAACTGCTAAGATAAGACTGATTTTAGCAAATGACGTATCCTCTAAGAAATTTAATTAAATTATTATAAGAAAAGGCACTAGAGGCCCTAAGCACTTTCAAATTCTTTCTAAACAGGAATACCTAGAACCTCAAGATTGTTTTAAATTAAAAAAAAAAAAAAACGGGGTCCCAAAATTAACTCAAAAACAAGTCAGGTCAGAATTTTCCAAAAATAGAACACCAAAGTCCCCCAAAATTGTTTTAAATAATTTACAAAAAAAATCTTCATAGGCTTCCAAAATAAAACAATTTATATTTTTTTCACAATCAACCATCCACAAAAATTTATCATACGTGTTATGTCTATTAAAATTGTTCACTACAATAATTTTATCGGACGACCATTTTTTATTAAATATTCAACTGAATTAATTATTACTTCCCGAGCGTAAGCAAAGGAAGTATTGTAATCGAGTCTATCAGACGAATGACCAATTTTTTTATTCAAACTACAGCGACTAGAGGCGCGGTTTCCATGACAACGGTGGTGCAAATAAAAAGTCTAAATAGTGAGTTATGATTTGGTCTCCGTTTTTATCGAGACCTTACTAAGGATATATCCAAGACACTATATCATTTTCATTAGATGTAAGTTTCGATGTATTTGATACAAATGAGGCGAGATAAAAAAAATAATTTTGAAAATTATGATACAACCTTGAGGATAATTTTTTAAATATTGAAAATAATTTTTTTTGCGATGTCCAGTGTATTCGTCGACATAAATTTGGAGGGCACGTGCCCTTGTAGCCCCTGGTAGCAGCTGTCCCTGTTAAATTTTTGTTTTTTTTTTTTACTTATTGTTCTTTATGTTTTTTCTTTTTTTGTTTGAACCCCTTCCATACTAGTGTGAGTAATCTGAAGGTTACTTGAATGAATGCTGTGTACTGTAGTGTCCCGTTTCTAAATTAATTTTAGCGCTACAAAAGAAAAGAAACCGCGAAACCGTGTTTAAAAGAGTAAATCATTTCAGTAATGTAAACGACCCTTCGTTTAGAGTTGGTAGTGAGAACGCACTTCCTCACTCGAAGGGAAAATAGATTTAGAAAATGTAGAGAAAAGACGTGCTTTCCAGGGATGTCCAAGATCACATGTGTTTTAAAACTTTACGTTTCCCGCGTCAATTGTTAGCCCATGTGGTTAAAAATAGCCACCAATTTTGTACATTCATTCATGGCTTGTTATAGTTATAAGAGTAAAATTGTTATTTAATTTTATATAGATGTGGTATCCCAGTTTGAATTAAAATTTCGCGCAAAGAGAAAAAAAACAACGCCGCGAAACCACTTTCACCATGGGAAAAAGTACTTATTTCGGTTTCGATACGTCATTTTTCTTGTTTGTAAGTGTAAACACTTGGTGAAACTACAGGTATGTTAGATTTAGTTTGTAATTTTATAAAAAGGACAATTTTTCAAACGAAAAGGAATCGCATCGACGCCACAGTTTTCCCTCCAACGAGCGTGATGTTGTGAAGTTTCACCGATGTTAATACTTGGTGTTAATTTTTGTTTTTTGTTTGTAAATTCACAGTTCATTTTAAGATTTTTAAGTGTTCCTGGTTCGAATACAATTTAACAGTCATGAAATTGTTCCTATGACCACGTGTTAGAAATTCACTTATTCAGGCTTCACTCTTTTGTTTATCAAGTTATAACAAAAGTTTTTGACCTTTATTGACTAGTAGTACTTATAACACACTTATTAACTTCTCACTCGATTTTGAATTCGATAAAAAAACTTCATAAATGTTACTTTTCAAGGTTTTCTTGTGTTTTCTAGCGTTTTCAGCACCCTGCGGACCCAAAAATACCAAGGAAACCATAAAATCTTTGTTAGAAATCTTATTTTTGGCGAATTTTATAGGTTCCGAAACATATTTCGACTTGTTTTGACAATTTTGATCGTCATTAGTCACTACGCACTTGCAATACCTACGCAGAATCGACTTATTGTGTGAAAATGCTACGATTGGTTTGCAGATTCAACAAATTCGTTAAAAAACTTCAGAAATGTTAGTGTTCAAGCTTTTTCTTTTGTTTTCTAGCGTTATCGCTAGGTTTAATAATATTCTTGAACATTTATTCTTGGAGTACCTCGAGCGTTCTTGAAGTACGGCGAGCGTTTCCGAGACCACCTTATTGTGATTTTGATTATACTGAATGTGTTTTTTTCTTTGTATGTGATGCGGGGGCTTCGGCCCACGCGATAATCAGTGAACACATTTTGATTCAATTAATAACTTGAAATACCATGATTACATCGTTTAAATTCTTTGCGGCTGAAACTGTCAATAGAGTGTGGCATAATTTAACATACTGACAATTCTTTCCATCAAAAATCAGCATAAAACGAACAAGATAAAATCCTTCGGTTAATTGCGGCAATTTTAGCAAGGGGATTTTAGCTCGAGTTTGTTTCGTAACTGTCTTTAGATTCTCGTTGGGGTACCTACTCCCTTGCGTAACGCGCGGGTCGGTAATCCGGCGGTCCACAAGGCTACTAGATGATAATATGGTCAATATGTAAACAGGCTTTGCGGTGGGAGACTGATTATTATGTGTTGTAGTTCGTGAATCTCGCAGCACAACATAACGATGAAAACTGAGGAGAGTTCTATCACCGAGATAAGAACCATTGATTCCGTAACCGAGATCTATGATTTGGACATTGGTTTTGTTTTAAAATTTTTCGTTGGTTCTAAATTTTGTTCACATGTCAAATTTTAGCGGGATGTTATCACAAAATGTATTTCTATGCAAGGCGTCATGTATAAGTTAATTTTCTTCCACACATTTTTGTAACACATTGCTGTATTTGTTGGAAAGGAAGGTTAAAGTTTTTACATACTTGTGTAGGTAATTTTAGAGACTTTTAGTTCGATCTGCCTTGCTATTTAAATAGTAGCGATAAATGTTAATTTAAAACACGTGTTAAAAATTCACTGATTTTTCCTAAGTTATTATTTAGATTTAATAACCACACACTCGAGATTTTTAACATAGTAAATTGCAGTATTCAAGATTTAATTTTAAATGTTGATTCGCTTTGAAACTTGTTAATAGTTAAATAACTATCATCGTGGATTCGAAGAGGCAGAGGGTAGTTTATGTTTATTTTGTGTTACTATTTATGTGTTTTAGAGTACTAATATTAAACATTTAGTTTCGAACACTCCTCTCACAGCGAAGTGTGTACCGAGAGGGATTATTGTGATTCCGATTATATTTAATGTGTTTTTTGTTTATGTGATGAGGAATTAGTTCACGATGTAATCTTGATGAATTCATATTGATTTACGTAAGTGTGGTGTAATTAAATGCTGTGGCTTTTGTTGCCATTTTGATACTTGTTTATTTATCAGTCTAAATTGCCGGGACCGCGTAGCGAAAGCGATGTGCACGGACCCGAGTCTAAATTGTTAATTCACCTACCGGATTCCGCCCCCGTTAAGTCGGCATCTTCTGTTTGTCTCCTTGTGGGAATAGAGAATAGCCTCAGCATAAACGAGGCCTGTAGTCCTCCTGCATATTGGTGTGGTTTGTATGAAACTGCGGTTATAGAGAAGAAACAGGGAGACGAGGGTCTGTCGCTGCTGTTGTTGTTTGTTCTTCACTTTCAAATTAGTTTCATTGTTTTCTTTATTCAACTGTCAATATTTAAATTTGTTACTTACTTTAAATAAGATGCGGTAAATTAGAAAATTGTGATAATTAACAAGCTGTGATATAAATTTGTAATCTTGTATTTGAAAAGAACGAGGAGATTTATATAAGAGAAGATAATAAAATAGTTTCTACATTATTCTTGCGTTTTTAATTCGAGTGCAGACTAAGCCAAAAAGCAATGAGTGAAAAATTTTACGCAGAGAAAGGTTTGGTATAAAAAGTTGCCGATTGGGCCCTAGCCTCATTGTTGTTTACATTAGCGATTTAGATGAAATGCTTAAAGGGACACAAACAGGATAAGTGGCAATAGAAAAGAGAACGCATATGCGTATGATTGGTACCTACGTATGGCGAAGGGATGAAAAGGAAAAAACTGGAGGTAAATATAATATTAACAAAACAAAGATGTGATAATACATTTTTGTTTCTTCTAGATGGCTGTAAAGCTCAACAACGTTTGTTAAAAATCTCTTAAACAGTGAAACTTCTTGATACGTCGTATTTCTGTCAGGGACCTACCAAAACATACCAACAAATCTTCTCTTCTCATTTGTTAATTTATAATAGTTATTGCATCATAAGGACAATCCCTGATATGCTCATTATTAATGGAAGCTAAAAAAATAAAACAAATAATAACTTTGACTTAAATCATAACCTTTATTTAATAACAATAACAATGCAAAGGTAAGAGGCAAAGTCTAGCGCTAGCGTGAGCTATTTGCACTTAATTTTATGGTGACCGAATTTAAATCAAAATTTTCGCGCTGAAATTAATTAACAGCTCCGCGAAATCACATTTGAATAATTTGAATTTGAGAAAAAAAAAATTCAAATCATAAATCGTTAAACATAGGCAACCAGGTGCACGGTAACGCTTGCTGGATAGTTGGACAATTAGTAGCGCTAGGGATTTTAGTTAGAGGGTTGGTGGTTAGACAGAGGGCGGCATGGCGGAGCGTCAGTCTGAATGTGTTTTTGTGAATGTAAACACGTGGTAAGAGCAACTTTAAATTAGTTGGTTAGATTGCTAATAGTTCATTTTCGGCAGTTAAACTAATTCATACCGCGAACTGGCGGGGGGTTAAAGTAATTCTTCCCTTAGGCGGTTATTATCGTTATTATTATCGTTATCATGATCACATCACTGGGGCATGTCCTCACCACGTTAAAGTTTGATTACATCATCGAGGCTTGTCCTCGCAACGCGAAAGATTGATTACATCATCGATACTTGTCCTCACAACGCTACAGATTGATTATTACTTCATCGAGGCATATCCTCGCAACGCTAGAGATTGATAACATCAACGAGGCTTATTCCTCGCAACACTAAACAATACATCATCGAGGTATTCCCCCGCAACGATAAAAAAAATTACATCACCGAGACGGTTTTTCCTCGTAACGATGATCGGATATTTTTATGTCTGCTTATTATGTGTTTTGTTGGAGTAACCAGTTCGCGGTATTCTAAACTCTCAAAGTAAATTGCTTTTTTTTGAAGTAACCACTTAGATCATGACATAATTTAACCTAATGTAAACTCTTTGTTTGAATTGTTGATAAAGTGTGTTAACTTTGCAAATTGTCACCTCATAAAATTTTTCTTTATCTCACAATTTTAGCTTCAGTAATTTTCTTTGTTGTATAATTTTAATTGAACGTAAATTTCCGTGCTTTGCAGTTTTAACCTCACATAATAATTTCTATTGGCACAAGTTTATTTCACACCAAATCTTTTGTTTTTCATAGATCTTTACTAGTTTTGTTTTGTAAAGACTTTGTTGATAAACGTTTTTATCATATAAATTATTTGATGTTCAATTTTAATCTCACATAAGATTTATTTGTTGGTCAAAATTCCACAAGACTGTATGGCGAATTTAAATGGTATTTATTGCTCTTTGAAACTTTAGCACTTGTTCAGTTGTTGTTAATATCAGAGTTATAAAGAATTGAACACATGAGATCTTATCGCGTCGCCTGCACAAAGGGTACAGGTTTGGATAGATTCAGGGGCGGTTGCGATGTTGTGGTCCTCTCGACTTAGCCCAATAGTCGAGACCTAACTGCGGATCTGCGATTGTAATGGCCTAGTTTCGGACGGCATGTTCGTCCTAGAGATGTGTAATGTGTTGTACGAGTAGGCTTGCCATAGATAGAATCACCGTGGTGGGGGGAGAACAGCCTCGACCGGTAGCCCCAAACTCCGCTTATGCTAGAACGCCCCAGGGGTACTTTTGCTGTGCTCCTGTTAACTGCCGTAATCTTAACATTTGACGCCACACGCCCGTAATAACTGGTGTATTTGCATCTAGTTATTTTAATTCAGATTTTGCTTTGTTTTTATTAAATTTGTGATATTCAAATATTTGCATTGATTCCAAACAGCGTTTGTTTGTTTTTCATATGTCTATGTTTGTCAATTCGCAAGTGTCTTTTCTGTCATATTTTTAAGGTGTTTCATTTGAAATGTATTATATCGTGAATACGGGTTTTTGGGGCTGAGGAATGAATACTCGCAGCTTATTTCCTCCTGGGAGGGGTGCCATTTGAGTCCCTCCTAAAAATTTTGTTCTATTATTTCTTGCGCTCTCGAATCACACGCAGTGTATGCTCACTTGTATGAAAGAACATCTTCCCGCCATTTAAAAGAAAAAAAAAAAAAAACACACACACACACCCAACGTAGGTTCCCATTTGTTAGACGTTCACAACCAAGGCCAAATTTTGAATTTTTGAAATTTTCGCAGGCCTTTCAAACTTTTTTAAGGTCAGTTTAAAGGCGGGAAGTTTGGGTTATCACAATTTCTTCAAAACACAAACATAAATATGTACCTATTTTTATAAAATCAACGTAGACTAAATAAATAAGATTAATAAAATAAGTAAATAACAAAACTGTATATGAATTTAATTTAAACTTAAGTAGGGAGATCATAATATACTGAAAAAAGATATTCTTTTATTTAACTACAATGACTGTCAGTGCCTCATTCACAAATTTTGCAACGTGTTTCATTTTCAGGACTTTCATCTTTTTTAGACTTGCAATATTTTGCTTCAATTTTCTTCATTCAGGATATTAATTAGTCATTTACGTTGTGATCCCAGTATTTCTGTAGCCATTAAAAGAACTTATTCATGGAACATTTTGTCCACTTCATTATCTTCTTTTTAAAATTCGCTATAACTTCTTCATTATTGTCATTTTCGATTTGTTATTGTTATAGTTATGGATGCTTTATCCCATCGACTGTACGTCAGTAGATTCTAGTCTTTTTCAATTTTTATTTCTTGCGTCTATTTATCTAGTACGGTTTACTACGGGCCCACTTTTTCGTTTCAAAATCGAGAAATCGCCAAAAATACAGTTGTTATGGCCACACAAAATAAATATTCAAATAAATAAAAAATATTTCTGCAGACAGAATAAATTTTTTTGCAAGTATTTACTAAAACGATGGAGAAAACACCCGAAGAAAAGCCGCAGAAAGCTTCAAAAAAACCTGGCGCCAGAGATAAAGATGATGAAGCCTACGAAGCACAACCCAAGAAAGGTAGGATGAAAAATAATTGAAAAAATCGGAAGAGGTAATTAATTTTGTAGTACGTTGGTTAACCCGAGCCATGGCAGAAGATTTCACCAGAAACGATGTATTGCTAACCACCTTCCGAGAAGCTATTATTTACATTGTGTTTATAATTGCAGTCACAATTTGTAAAAAATCGAACATTTTTGTGTAGTTACTAAAAAAACTTTGTGGTAGGTACCATAGGACGGCGCTCCGCGTCAATGTTCTATATCACGCAAGCCCTAAAGGGTCAATTTCTGGACAAGGAATTTCAAACCGCCAACGACGTTGGCATCAATTTTTATGACATTAGATCAGCGACAGATTTTTGGCATGTAAGTAAATACCTCCAGGAAACCAATAACTACTTTTTGGTAGTATGCAGAGTCTTTAATGTTGGATAGCTTCTACTGGGAGCACTACTACAATCGGTACGATCCAGTTGCACCAGCTCCCGAAGACGATAAAAAAATCTTATTCGAAAACAAACTGTTGGGGGTTCCGAGGATCAGACAAGTAAGTGGGAAACTTTTGTTCCAAAGTATTCAACACACAGTTCAGGTGAAAGTCAAAAACGATTCCTGCATAGTGCACGAATATTTCAGAAGACTCTTCTTGACTTGCTATGATCTGTACAGAGAGGCCGACGAAGATCAAGAAACGTTTGGGCCTGGCGAAGGAACCGCGTATTGACAGAATGACTAATGACTAAATAACCATACAAGAAATGATACATTTCAGGTGGGTTTACAGTACGGACGCCGAAACAGAAAGCATTCCTTATCCGGGGAAAATTTCAACCTACGAAGGTGGCGGTTTTTACCAAGATCTCACCACCACTAGAAACGCAAGTTCTATATTGATAGCGGAGTTGAAGGAGGAATTGTGGATAACAAGGGGCACCAGGGCTGTATTCGTCGACTTTTCCATTTATAATGCAAATTTAAATCTCTTCTGCATTTGCAAGTACGACTAGTGCTACAGAATTTTATTAAGTTGATTCTTTTTATTGGTGAATAATGCAACTTCCATTACAGATTAGTTATGGAGTTTCCGCCCACCGGAGGGATAATCCCATCGCACTCATTCCAGGCAGTTCACCTACTGCGATATACTAACTACTGGGACTACGTGACGTTTGCTTTTGAAGTCACAGTATACCTCATTGCTAGTTACTTTTTGATGGAGGAAATCCGAGAGATCATGTATTTCAAACTTCGATACTTCTTACAGTTCTGGACATACATAGATGTTACTATTATTTTTGTAAGCATGGTGACGTGTCGGCGTAAATATTTCAAGTTTTTAATTTCAGATGGCATCGGCTAATTTTATAACTTCTCTCATAATTTTTCCGAATGTTGATTCCACCATTAAAAAAATTCGAGACAATCCTGAAAAATACGGCAACTTGGAATACCTTGCAGATAAAAAAATTCTCTATAACAATTTTGCTGCTTCCTTATTGTTTTTCTCCTACATTAAATTGTTCAAATACTTGAATTTTAATAAGACGATGGGGCAACTTAATAATACCCTGAAAAGAGTACGAGTATTTTGATGCTTTCAAGCCAAATAATTTTTTCAATTTTCAGTGTGCCCTCGATATCCTTGGATTCTCTATCATGTTCTTTATCATCTTCTTCGCCTTCGCCGAGTTAGGATACCTCTTGTTTGGCAGTCAAGTGGAAGATTTTAGCAGTTTTGGAGTGGCAATGTTTACGCTTCTGCGTACAATTTTGGGTGACTTCGATTACCAAGCCATAGAACAAGCCAACAGGGTTTTGGCACCCATTTACTTCCTTTCATACATATTCTTCGTCTTCTTTGTCCTACTGGTACAAAAATTAACATAAAGGCGCAATTACATTGTTCGTTTTTGGCGGACCATCCAAGACACAGTCAATCTTGGAGATCCCTCCTACGCTAGTTAAATTTTCGTGATTAATGGGCTACATGACGACGCGATCTTTGAGACATGACTTTCTAGATGGACCATCAATAACGCACAATGTAACACGTACCTTGTTTACTAAAATTTGTGTAGAACATGTTTTTGGCCATCATTAACGACACCTACGCTGACGTGAAAACCGAAATCGCTATAGCACCAGACGAAATGCAGATGACTGAGTTTCTGAAGAAAGGATTTTACAAAATGTTGCAAAAGTGTGGTTGTAATATCAAGTACTTTGAACAAGAGAAGGCTGAATTTAATGCCACGATTCAGCAAATTCGTGACGCTCTTAAAAAGTGAGTGGATTTTACATTTGTGGATACTAGAATCTTTTTTGTAGATGCGGCTTTAGCGACCTCGAAATAGAGATGTTTTTTGCGAGGTACAATATAGATCCTTTGGCTGAAGTAGGAGAGTATGATGTTAAGAAAATCATGAAGGAACTGGAGGGACAATCAATGGGTACTTTTGTACTAGTACTAGAACTAGATTTTAACAAAAATGTTTGCAGCAAACGAACGAATGGATGAAGACGCCACTCTTGTGCACGTCAGCGACTTCATAACGTAATTAATTTGACACCTTGTAACAAAAAATTATGTTATTTTTTTAGGCAACAAGAGAGACTTGATCAGATTGAAAAGACCATTCAGCAACTTGCCACAAAAGTAGATAACTTACTTAAAAAGTTGGAAGCTCTGGACAACGTCAGAAAAGCTAAGGCCTCTCAGGGATAATTTTAGATTTATTGACTTATAATGTTTATTATGAATAAAAATGCGTTAATTTTCTATGGTTTATATTAATATAAACAGAAATTATTTACAATACTTTGTAACTATATGCAGATTCGTAAAACGAATAAATCAGTCAAATAATACACTAACAAAGAATAAAAAAGTCTTCACTTTACAAATCTGCTTACATAAATGGTATATTCATTAATAGCTCTTATTATAGTTCTATGAATGACCATTTACATATTTATTGTTGAATTAGCTACGCTTGTGAATGAGCACTCTAATATATCACAAATTATGTGGCTTTTAGACTGTTAATATCATAGTTAGTAGACAGTCTTTATACTTCAACAGTAATAACAACACTGATAAATGATCGTTGTGTTACAATATTTTAATGATACTTTGAAACGTGGAAAAATATTCTCCACTAATATTACCACACAAATTAAAAAATAAATATGTGAATCCAATTTATAAAATACTGTAGATGACTTTAATCCCTAAAATAAATAAACAATTTTAATAAATACGTAAAAACTTTGTAAAAAATGGAAACGTCAGTGGAGATTTTAGAAGGTACCTAGCGAATTGTTTACCTCATAATACACAGTAAGGAACTTAAATTATGTATAAATTGCCACTTTTCCTATCATTCTGTATATACCTATCACAGTCCTACACAGCAATATAACAGAAAAAATAAAATAAAAAAAACTAATAAAAATTAAAATTATTTAAATAGCTTATAGTATACTTTACAAGAAATATTTTAAAATACTAAAATATCATGCACGATAATAAAAGCATACAGCCATACCGTCAGCCATACTGATGTTAATGGGACTGACAAGCAGGTCGGTAATATCTAAGTGCATACTTTGAATGTATACGTAAAAGTAGAAATACACAAAATAAGTTCAGTTATGTAAATAAATGCCACAATAATGTAAAAACAAGCCCCAGTTTTCAAGTAATACAAATTTGTGAAATCAAATTTACCCTTGAATTGAGTACTTGACAAAAGACTATGGAATGCTAAAACCTATACCAAAGAACAAAATACTAAAGTGACCTGTTATTATAAATTCATATATTCATTATAACGCGTAAAAATGGTAATCCGTGAACAATAAATTTCTGAAAGCGCAATTAACAGCAAAAAACTGTTTATCAGTAATTATAACACTGACGATGTTGACTTAATGTACTGGTTCCACTAGTTTTAATTACTACCTGCAAGTTCGCTATAATGGCTGTTTGCACAACTATGTAACATAAATCAATAGTTTGGAGTTATTTTGTTCTTAAGTATACACACATACACACGAAAAATTATTTCTGATCAGAGATGTCTGACAGTTGCTTTTCTAACGAATCGCACTCTGCCAAATCCTCTCCGTTTTGTTGATACAAACTGGAAGTAATATTAGAATCAATACTATCATAAAATTCACTTTGTGTGCTGCCCACATTCCATAAAAACGTGTTAGCGGTTTGAAAACGGTGACTACTGGAAGTTTCTATGGTGGTCGGTTGTACAGATCTGTCCAACGAATCTGGATAAGGAGAACCAGAGTCGGTGTTATATGAAGAGAGAGTCCATGGATATTGAGATTTTTCTTTTGCTGAGTTTAAACTTATCTGAAAGTATAAAGTCTCCACGTGACTACATCTGGAGATGCTGATTAATGGTTAGGGAAAATGAATATCATATCTTTTTTACATAGCTTTTCGTTTCCAGTTATTAGTACGCAGGGTAACAAGCCAGTACGACGAACGCCATTTCGATGCAGTATTTGCCTATCTATAATAATGTTGAACTGAATTGATTTGTAAAAAAATAAAAGTCAACTTGTGTTATTTTGGTTTGTAAATAAGCAACATAATACTAAATGTTCTAATAAACGAAAATTTCTGCCAATGTTTGCTTTAGTAATTCACAGATTTATAAAATTATAGAGCTACTTATGAACTGGGTGGATGTAAGTCACCAAAACGGAAAAAGAAATTAACAATTTCATATTTCTCACAGATTTTTTTTATCTATTTCAGTGTGCATGAATGATTTTTTTATGCTCAGTAACTGTTTAAAATATATGTAACAGTAAAAATGTTATCAGTGGCTATATCCCAAGGATACAGATAATTATTACGAAATAATTATATCAGTTCCTAGTACTAAAAAAAAGTACTCGAAAAGGTTATAAATATTTAATAACAATGTCCGAGGGATATTTGCTTAGAATTGTTTTTCTAATTGAAATTAAATTGTCGTCACACAAAATTTTTAATAAGATGTGAAATAAAAGTTTACAATTTAGGAGAATGTAGGGTCTGTACGTTTTATTAAAAGCATAAACACTTCTACAACATAGGGCGTCAAGTTTTATTATTTGGTGCTCAAGAGGATTATAAAATACTGTTTTTAATTTGAACATGCTTGTCACTTGACGGACTTAAGTCGGCTTAACTAACTCTGTTGCACCCGTTAAGTATTTTTACGGTCATGAAAAAGTTGTTAATGTAAGTAGTGCGTAAAATCAAGCTTAAAGTTTAGGGACGTTGTCTAGGCAACGAGACGACGTCGAGTTCCCCAAGATGTCCGAGAACCTGTAACTTTGTTTGCGCACGTGTTGTATTCAATATATTTTTTGTTGATCGTAAAATACTGTGGAGATTGGCGTTTGTTTTGTAAAGAAAATTGAGCACATCCAAATATGGCTATTATGAGAGTTAAGTTTCAGAGATTGTATTAGAAAAAACGACATTATTGCGTGAAAAATTGTTTATTCAAGTTTTCGCGAATGGGAGAGAACAAAGTTTGCTCGAAAACAGAAGATTTGATTATTGTTTGTTTCATATTTAATATAACAGCTCGATTACTTTGGTCCTATGTTTTGGTAGTGGAGTCAACTTTAAACGTAAAAAGAAATTGTCTCTCCAAATAAAGATTGCTATTTATGAGGTATTTTTGTTATCGGAACTAAAGGGTAGATAACCAATTTTTCCCCTTTTTGTTTTTGTCTTGATTTTGGCATTGGCGGTCTAAAAAAACACACTAAAGACTCCGGTAAAGTCTTCAATGTGACGTTGCGAAATACCAACAATAATTATATAGGAAGTTAACTATTTTTGGAGATAATTTTATACCGAAGATACACACCTTTAAGTCCAATCGATTCTCTCTGTTTCGTAAGACCAGGGGTGTGCTCGATACCCTGTGAGAAGAATTAACACTTTCGGTTCGAAGTTGGAAAATCCTCAAAACTACACAGGACATTGTTTTTAGTGAAGCTCAATCATTTTGTTGGTTGGCGGACAGCGTTCTTCTAGTGTAGCAAAAGGACGTCTTAAAGATTGTATAGAAGAATATATCAAAATTGGCAAATGATAATAATTTCCGTTACAGTTTTTTATATAAAAAAAGTATTTTACTATAATGTGAATGTTTTTCACAACCTACGATAATTATAGATATTTAAAAAATTATTTTATTGCAAGTACTTAGTAAAACTGCCAGTTACATAACTGGCACAAGGCACCTTAACGATATACCATATAGTTAAATATTTGTTAAGAAATCTTATAATTTCAGGCAACCCAACGAAGGTTAAAAATATGAGATTGTTAATTCCTTTCGACGTTCGTTCAGTGCTTTCCAGTTGTACCCTATATTTACACGCATTAAAAAAAAACAGCAAATTTCCAAAGTACTGTACATTTATGACCAGATGAATTGTAGTACTTTAAAGTTTAGTGGTTAGGTCTGGTCCCTTAGCGGTTAAGAACGACTCTCAAGATTAATTAAGAAGCGCCTACTTAGAACTCATTTTTATTTGATGGGAACTACAGAGGCTAACACTTATGCGAGTACTTACCTATTAAACCACTTCAACTACTAAATAAACCTCAACATTGTTATAAAAAGAATGAAACTGCGTCTAGCCGCTTTCCATGCACCTGTATCAAGGGAATCACCAGAAAGCAACATTTTCTTGAAATAAATTTAGTAGAAAGCTTTACGACCTCTAAATATAGAAATTTATTTCTCTTGTCCGGCGAGTTACTCTGCGTACGTCGTTTCTTCACCTTGTTCGTTCAAAGAAAAAAAAAATGTACAACGGAAAATGAGTATTTTAAATTTAAATAGAACCTTCTCCTCTCAGACCGTATTTCCGATCTCCGTGAGCAAATCTCAAAGCAATTTTCTTACTTTGCTTATTTAAAATCGTAATGAAAGAAACGTGGTGTGAAGATGATAATGAAAATGTCAACAAATGAAAACTGGGTAATTTACCTTCAGCAAGTAAAAGTTACGATCTGTCATGTCAAGTCTACAACTATACGTGAATTCTTGTAAATTAGTCACGGCTGTTAATTGCAAAATTAAACTAAACTGCACACGAAATAACGAGCTCACGTACATGTAGTAAGTTAGTTGGAATTAATCACCAGGAAATATTTACACAGGTTTTGCAAGCCACACACATGCAGGAGATTATTGCTACGTACCTGGAAACATCATATTCACTTAAGATAATTAAATGAAGCTGGACAATACACAAGCGACTTATTAAAAGCATCAGTACCATCAAGTAAATGAAAATTAAAACGAGCTAGATCATCAGCGTGGAAATCTTCTTGTAATTACGTAATGTTGTTAATTACTCGCTGTATGAAACAGCGTTTTACATTATAACGAAGAGGGGGATAATCGAATACTGAAAAATGATTGATGTACTGTTGAAGTCTTCATAAAAAATTAAGTGATTTCTAAAACTAAGTAATGGCGTTAACAGTTTTAGTTTTTTTGTTTTGCAACGACGAAGACAAAATATTGCTGTCGAAAGTACAAACTTATAAATAAGTAGCTAAAAATTTGACGTTTTCAACACCGAAAATTTCATTGTTCTTGTATTTGACGACAGTCTTGGGTTACAGGAGTTTCATGTGAAGTGAGTTTAACACGTGACATCCGCCATCTAATTCGAGACATGGAAATTAAAAAATTGGCGGTTCTTTTAGAATTTGCATGCCTTTTATTTTAAAACAATTGTCTTTGTTGCGGTCTAGACTATCCTGTACGTGAATATAGATAAAAACGGAGACTGAATCGCGGAGAACCCTTAAATTGGAATGTAAAAAATTGCGATTTGTCACTTAAACTTTTTTTTGAAATTTAATTTCTAATCTAAATGCATTACGAATCTCGGGATTATTCGCCTGACAAAATAGTTAATTTGTACACCAAATTAGAAGAAGAAAATATCTCGCGACTGAATTGCATCTCGCTAATTAAGTGTCCTTTAAACATAGCAAATGTCTTTTGCGCGAATTCGTGAATCTTGGATTGGCCATTGGGTGGTGCTGGGATTTTTAGAAATTGAAATATTATGATTGCATTAAAGTTTGAAAATTGATCATTATTTTTTTTTATTTCATTAGGGATATAAATATATAATACATTTTTATTTTGTCTTTTTGAAGTTTGTTCTTAATTTGACCATTTGATTACATAGTTTTAATATGTCATTAAATATTCCCCTTGTAAAACTTCTGGAGTTAAGCATGTAGCAGCGAGTTCTGAAAATATTATATAGTATATTAAGAAAAAAGGCAAAATATAAGCCCCGCCCTATCTCAATTGTGATTATTATTATTTTTTTTAATCATCTAGAACCAAAGGAGCAGAATTTAATTGCAAAATCCTTATGATTTCTATACAAGAAATGTAAGACATGTTTTTCAGTATCGTGTTATTCAAAGAAGACCATGTATATTAAGAAAAAAATAAAGCCAAAGATTAAGCCCCACTTATACTTGCCCTGATCTAAGTAGTAATGAAGTTTTCATTCGTTGGCAGACCTAGGGGCGGAGTCTAATTGCAAAATCCATATTTCCTTACAAAAATTTACCATTTTAAACGTGTTTTAAGTTTTTAAGAATTAAAAAAATCATCACAAATGAAATGGGGTGGTGGGCGGGGTTAATATTTTGGCTCTTTTTCTAATATACGTAGTATTCTTTGAAAAACACGATACTCAAAAACATGTTTTTTGTTTCCTTACGAGAAATAAGTGTTTTACAGTTAAGCTCTTTGGTTCACGGCGAATAAAAAGAAACTCATCACAATTGAGATAGGGCGGATGGGCTTACATTTTGCCTTTTGTTTTAATATGTGCAGATTTGTTTTCACAACATGAAACTTAAAACATGTTTAAAATGGAAATTTTGAAGAAGGAATTATCAATTTTGCAATTAGGCTCCGCCCCATAACCGCAAAATCCATATTTCCTTACAAAAATGTACCATTTTACCCATTTCTTCTTGTGAAAACATGGCTATGCATATTAAGAAAAAAAGGCAAAACAAAAGCCCCGCCCACCCACCCTATCTCAATTCTTAAGTAATCGTGTTATACAAAGAAAACCAAAAGAGAAGCCCCACCCATCCGTCTCGATCTCAATCGTGATGAATTTTTCATTCGTTGCTAAACCGAGGGGCGAAGCGTAATTACAAAATCCATATTTCCCTATACAGCGTGTTATTGAAAGGTACGTACAAAATAAAATCGGCAATTGGTCTCGAAGTATGAGTGCTAAAATTAAAAAAAAAGTTCAGGTAAAAGTGTTCTCCTTTTA